AGTAAACTTAAATTCAACAGTAAATAAATATAAAAACTTTATTTGGATGATGGAGGCCTATTGCAGACGGAATGCTTGATGAATAAAGTTAAATTTAAAATACAAAATTAGAGACTAAGACTCAATCTACTTTCACCAAACAAACAAACAAATAAACAAACAAATCAGCAAAAAGCGAAGATAAAAATTAAAAATGAAAATAAACAAACAAATCAGCAAAAAGCGAAGATAAAAATTAAAAATGAAAAACGAGAGCTAAGCTCTAGTATGAGGTATTATTTATCTAATATTATATATATATTTATTTATATTTGGGTTGTAGTCGCAGTAAGGAGATATTGTGTGGTTTTAAAGGTGTTGTAGGAGGTCCTTTTCTTTCAGAGTTCACTAAGTTAAATGTCGTTTGGGTTGCGGTTATTTTTGTTGCTCTATCCAAATAAATATCATTATTGTTTGTTATAAATTGTAAATATTTTATACGTGTAACTCACTCCCATAATCCCTCATTTTGGAAGGTTTTATGAGCGATACTTAATAAAAAAATAATCGGGAGCCTTCCGGGTTTTTGACCTGAGTTCAAACGTAACTTAGTGCCTTTTATTTACTGTATTTATTATTTCCCTTTTTAATACTTTCCCTATGAATACAACACCTTACAAGTACCTTGGGTTACTAAATTAATGAGCTATATTACCGTAAGTATTTATTTTATTTATTTGTCGTAATTTAATATAACATTTGCCGTGGTGTTATATTTCAATTATCACTTGGGGTGTAACTTTTTACAGATTCTTTGCTGGGGGGGGTGTGAACGCTTACAATATATATATATGTATATATACCGTCAACTCACCCGTCACAGGTTTCTTGATACAAAATAATATTTAAAATTTTAAAAATTGTTAAATATCTCTGAAATTATTAACTGTATGGCCCGCGCGGGTAGAATTATGTAAACATTATTTAAAAAATTATTTTAAGTTTTAAATTTTTAATATGTTTGGCTTGTCAATGTTTTTTATAAGTCACTAACTGCTATTTTTCATCAGTAATATTAGTTACAAAACAATTAATTAGTCAAAAAATTGTTTATAACAATCTGAAAAATTGACGACATTAAATTTTGAACAATGACAGATTACGTGGTAACCATAGATACCGTCAACTCACCCGATACAAAATAATATTTAAATTTTAAAAATTGTTAAAAAAATTTGAAATTATTAACTTTATGCGCGGGTAGAATTATGTAAATATTATTTAGAAAATTATTTTAAGTTTATTTTTTTATTTATAATGTACAAACAACAATATCATTTTTTATTTAAACTTTAATTTAACTTATAATATAAAACAACACATATTAACATTAATATTTATTAAAAATTACGTAATTAAAATATTTAATTTTAAAAAAAAATTAGACCTGTATAGTTTAAAAAATTAGCGAAGAGCTTTTTTGTATTTTTACAATTTTTCACTAAATAACCGTAAAATTAATTTGATTGCATATTTGGGAAGTTATTATTTTATTATTATAACTTTTATTTATATTTATTTCATTATTATGACTTTTGACCTCGTTTCCGTATCCCAAAATCGATCACCCTTAGTGCACAAGCAGGCATATTGACCAGTCTTACTTAATCTTTTTCAAGAATGATTCATGCATTAATGCATGAATCATTTTTGAAAAAGTAAATTGACAGGATGCCTTTGTTGTAGAGCGTTCAATTATCTACAAAAATTTAATAAAAAAATGCATTATATTTGCTTGTACGAGAGAAAAATATTTAAATGTAAAGTAAAAAATCCCATTTAAATAAAAAATGTATCTTGTGTTTGGCAAGGTTTAATATTTAAAATATAGGGGGTGCTTTTAAAAAAAAATAACTAGGTAAATAACAGACACCCTAACATATAATATTATTATGTAGTACAAATCATATTATGTATACACGTTGACATAACAGGTCAACGTTAGAAACAATTTTAAAACACGTTTGTCAATAATGGCGAATGCGCCGGGATTAACTAATTATATTTACAGTTAATTTTTTTTTATTTAGTTGGTAACTTATGCCAGTTCGATTTAGTATTTTAAGTATTTTAAAAATTGCACTTCGGATATAGTCACACTATAGTCACAGTTAACCGAATCTTTATAATAGAAAATTATTTGTTTATTATAATGGATTCAATTCAAACTATTTTGTTGCTACTTCTGTAGTTTCTCAAGTATCCAACTTAGGACCTCTTCTGTTTAATATTTTTATTAATGATTTATCTATAGCTTTTTCTTGTCATCACTTATTTTTTGCTGAAGACTTAAAACTTTTTCATAATATATCCAGTACAAAAGATAGTTTTTACCTTTAAGAGCAATTGGACAATTGGTGCAATTTAAATAAGCTATCAACATTAACGAGTGAAAAATATCTACTTTTACCCTTACCGCTTTGCCTATTGTCTTTGATTATTCTATCAATAACTTTATTCTTTCTCGCACTGATACAATCAGGGACCTAGATATCGTTTTTGACAGTAATCTTTCATTTAACGCTCATGTTCAAAGTATATCCCTTTTACTCGTAAACTTCTAGGTTTTATAAATCGTAACAGATCTTCTTTTAAAAATATCACAGCTCTAAATGCAATATATTGCCAACTTATTAGTTCTAGACTAGAGTACTGCTCTATTATTTGGTACCCATGCTATAAATCTCAAATTTCATAACGTACAGATAGGTCTACCACCCCCCCGGTCATTGACCGGTCAATTGACCAAAAACAATTTGACCGGTCAATTCCACAACCCTAGATATTTCTGTTGAATCGGGAATATGTTTTCCTTTTTTCTTAACTAAAAGTTTATCTTCAAGTGAAATCGGGCTTTTTAAAAGATTTTGCACACAACTTACTTCCGCTGGTGCCATTATTGTTAATAAAAAATAAAGTTTATTTAAAAAACAAAATACGTAATTCACCAAGAACTTAAAAAACACAACGGCGCGCGGTGACAAAAAAGTTAGAAATCAAACAAACTGACACAGATAACAGCTAAGCTGTTGAAGAGACACTGCGTTCGGTGCCCCAAATTGACAATATACTCGCGTACTGACTCGGTTGATTCGGTGATCTTCGGTTATTCTCTCAGTACTACTGAGAGGATAACCGAAGATCACCGAATCATACTCGGAATGGGTACATTTCAAACTGTGCCCCGGCGACGAAACGCACGCTACAGCGTTGCGGAAAGAAGGTTTAAATTCAAAGTTTTGAGACCATCCTTAAATAGTAATTACAATGGTGTTACGTATAACTAAAAAAATGCAAAATGCAACAAGTAACTTTTATTACTTTTTATCTGGGCGGTTGGGTGGGCACGTGCCCTTGTGCCCTTTAGAACCAGCCACCACTGTGTCCAATTATATAAATTTACACTTTTAACCAACCAGTAATTGGACACTGGTCATTTTACTGTTTTTTTTTCGAACACACTGATCTGTACACTTTTTAGAAATATTTTTTACTGTAATTTAAACACAGCCCTATTCTTAACAAAAAAACAAAAATCTTACCACCAAAGTAACGTGCGAACTTTTTTGTCCTATATTGGACCCAAAATAAAGTAGTTCTATATTATTACCGACTGAGATATTTATAATTGTATACAGCGTCATCTAATGATTTGACTTTAAGGTAACTATTTATAAAACTCTTGTTTTTACAGTTTTAATGTTAATTGAATAGGTCAATGCAGAAACTGAATATGTCCACTTTTTAGGGCTATTGAGTTAAACATGGATTTACTATAAGTAAAGGGAGCCCGATCGAATGGCGTAGAAATTTCACATGTCACGGTAATCTAGAATATACAAAGGCGTTAATATAGTAGAGAAACTGAATATGTCCAGAACATATGTCCACTTTCTGTTCAGTTTTTCTTATTTATCTCAAAACTAGATAGGTAGGACATATTCAGTTTCTGCATTGACGTATTCAATTGTCCAATAACTATAGACTATCCGATAACTGTCTACTTTACCCTATCCAACATAATATGTTCCTAGGTTATGTTCTTTAAAGTATGTAAATAAATCGTTTGAAAATTGCGTACATACTAGAGGCGGAAAGTTAAAATTTAAAACATAATTATAAAAACTTTATAATAAAATACGCTTTTAATGGTTTTATAACAAATAAAAAGGTTTGAAGTGTCATTCGAAACTTAAGTGAATCTGAGCAGTGTTGTTCGTTAATATATTACTATAATTAAATGGTCAATAATTTTTATTTTGTTTTAAAATAACATTTTTTTATATTTTACAAGTTATATATTTATATTTTGAATAATAAATCAAAAATTGACAGAATTTTGTCGACAACGCATTTCATACGACTACCTAACTAGAAGTATAATTAAAGTAAAATTATACAAAAGCGCAAAAAATGGTTACATTCTTTTTTGTTTCCTTAATAAACATAATTTTAACAATGTTTCCATATTTTACCATGTCACTTACAAAGTTGTTTTAGCATAGTTCTAATTGTCACAATGTATTTTTTTTTTGCTATACGAATTTAATTTCTTACGGTTTGGAAAACAATTATTTTTATCTTTCATATTTTTAACATGTTATACTTTTTTTACTTCTCTACAATAAAAATGTAGGTATTTAGTATGCCTTTATGTTAATTTCTTGTTTGTTTTTATGCTGTTATATATATATATATATATAATATATATTTATCGGAATACTTTTTAAAACAATTTAACTTTTACTTGTTTTTATTTATTTTTGGCATATTTTAAAGCAAATTATTTTATTAAACAATTTATTTTAAGTAAAAAATATTATTTAATTAAAAGTTATACATTTTGAGGTACAATATTTTTAAGGAATTAATTTTGTAATTGCTAATTATTGTGCTTTATTGTAAAAACCATTTTTTTTAAACATTGGGCAAATAATACAAGGTATTTTATTATGAAGTTTTTATTTAGTTTTTTAATTTAATTTACATCAGTCCTCTCTTTACCATTGTTGAGCGTAAGCCAATGGAGCTGGGGCGGAGTAGAAAGATCCCAAACCGTGAGCAGCGTAGGAAGAGACTACAGATGGAGCAGAGTAGGAAGATACTACAGCTGGGGCGGAGTAGGAAGATACTACGGCTGGAGCTGCGTAAGAAGATACTACAGATGGGGCAGAGTAGGAAGATACTAAAGCTGGAGCAGAGTAGGTAGATACTACTGGGCTGCTAACAAGGTCTTGTCTGTAGCTGGTGCTGACGGCGGCGGGAGCAGCAGCAACAACAGTTTTAGCTACAACTGGGGCAGCTACTACAGCTGGAGCAGAGTAGGTGGATACTATTGGTTTGCTGATGACGTCGCTTCTGAATTGGTGGCTTACGGCAGCTGGAGCTACAACGGTTTTGGTTACTACTGGAGCGGCAGCTAATACTGGAGCGGAAGCTACTACTGCTGGAGCAGAGTAGGTGGATACTACTGGTTTACTGATGACGTCACTTCTGAATTGATGGCTTACGGCAGCTGGAGCTACGACGGTTTTAGTTACAACTGGAGCAGCAGCAATGACTGGAGCGGAGTAAGCGGCAACTATAGGTTTGCTGATGACATCGCTTCTGTATTGGCTGGTGATGGCGGAAGATCCTCCGGATACAACGGTATTGGTAACGACAGGAGAAGCAGCTACTACAGCGGGAGCAGAGTAAGCCAAGGGAGACCCTACGGCAGCGTATTCCAAATGGCCACCAAGGAATCCTGGTTTAGCTACGGCAACGGCCAAGAGAGCAGACAACACCACCAATTTGAACATTTTTAAAGAGGTCTGTGTTGCGAGTATAAGACTGACTGACAAAAACTGATGCTGTTTCTGGTTGGCCCAATCCTTTTTATACTCGTAATAATTGTTGAACTTGTTTGGGTGGGTCCCCCTAAAAAAATATGAAAATTCTTGTTTTCGGTATAAAGCCTAAATCCAGAACCATAAAATAATTTAAATTAAATCCTTGATATTTAAATATGTAACATAATTAAAACTACTTGTATTGTTACACCCAAATTTTGTCAAATTCCATTGAAATTTCGCATTATTCAAACAAAATTTAAACAAATTCATTTATATACCTACTCGATTTAAAAATTATAAATAAAAAAATTGTTCGCATGAACAAGTTTTTGCCACATCAATAAATGCGTTGCAATATCCTACGTAGGTACTACTTAATTATGTATTTAAAGGTTCCGGCTTTGTTCTTGAAAACAAATAAGTAGAAGCAAAAATTCAAGGTTCCTTAGGTATCCACCCAACAAAATTTCTTTACGTGCTCTCTATAGAAAAGAACAGGTTACTAAATTGCTTACACTTGGATAAACATTTCAAAATATATGCAATTTAATTAACTAATACTATACTATATGTACTTGGATGAATGTTAAGAATTTTTATATTGTTATTTCTAGCTTTCCCAATTAAATTTTTAGTATACATAATAGTATACGTAGGTATAAATATATAAAATAATATGTATATTACAAATTAAATTTAATATGCATATATTATTAAGTTTTTAATAAAATCTAAGTATACATATAAATATTTATTCTATTAATGGTTAATACCGGAAACAAAAATATTAGATTGGAATAATTTAAAAATTAGTTTTAAAAAAATTATCAAAAATATATTTAATTTAAATTAAAGTTTAAAATAAATATGTTCATATAAATAACATTATTTTGAAATTTAAAATTAGCATATTTTACGTGGAGGGTAAATTCCATGGGGTTACCCCAAATAAAGAAAATAGAAAAATAGTTATTTATGTAACAAAGCTAAAAAGTGAGTTTAAATGCCGACGGGTAGCAAAGACCTACAATTAGGCGAAGCACAAAAAGACACTTCTCAGCGGCATGTCATATAACATTTTATCTTCAAGGAGTAATTTTATTTGTTAATTAATACATAAAACGTTTAATTATAATAATTATCAAAAGTACAAAGTGAGGTTAAATTAGGGTTTTTCACAAACTATGCAACTAAGGTAAAAAACTTTACCCGATTGGTATTAACTATTTTTACAGCCTAGGAGGTTTTTTATTGAAGATAAATAATATTATCCGCGAGTCCTAGATTGTATAAAACTATATATGCATATATTCATCTACATTGTTTAATATAAAAATCGAGATAAAAATATAATTTTATTGAACTCGAACTTTAATTTAAATTAAAAATATTTTCGCTAAGATTTACAAATTGTTATTAAGAATTTGGTTCGCACCGCTAATCTTTATGACCCACCCTGTACAATATAAACATAATAATAATCAATAATCAATTTATTTTAAGCGTTAAAAGTCGACCTTGCTTCACGAAAAACTATTTATAATAAGCATTAAAAACAAGTTCACGCAATGCATCTTGGTTTGACTTGGATACTGGAATTTTAGATCCGGGTTCAATAAACATTTTTGTATTTTAAATTGATAAATATACCTAATTTTAACAAATTTCCTAGATTAATTTGAAACTGATTTATAAAAAAACTAAATAAATTAAAACTAAAGGGTCTTGATACAATATTGATTTAAATTTTTTGTAATTTATATATATTTTTTTTTAATTCCCATGGTTTAATAAAATTTACATTTATCTTTAAGCGTCAAAACGTTGAAACTCACTACCCAAGTGATTGATTATCGGCTAGGCTGTAAAAATAATTTAGACCGATCGGGTAAAGTTGTGTACCTTTTAGGTTGTAAAAAAATGTAATTGAACCAATCAAAAAATTTAATTACTGTCAGATCAACCTAACCTCACTTTCTTCTTTTAATAAGTATTATTATAATTGTACGTTTTATGTATCGATAAACAAATAAATCGTGTTGCTGCTCTGCTGCGTGTTTCACTCAACGTCTAACTCGCAGCAGAGCAGCAAAAGCAGCCCAGCAGATAAGACTTGAAGATGGTACATGAGATTGTACCGAAACCTCGCCAGACATACGGTTCTTTTAAGAACCAAAAACCGACAACACAGATCCGATAATTTTTTTTTCTACGGCCCCCTCTACGGAGATACGGTCCCATAATGGACACCCATGAAAATCGTTTGTTTTTAAATAACTTATAAAGTTTAGGTGGAAATTAATAATTTTTTAATATATTGTTTTCTTAAAAAGTTTTCTTTAAATGGGCATTTTTAATCAGATTCGGCTTAAAGTAAGGTGTACCATGTAAAAAAAAGAAACTGAACAAAACATTCGTTTTTTTTATAGTCTGTGGTTTCTGGTCCAGAACGTCTACCGAAATTTAGAGAATACCTACAAAGTTTCAGATGGTCATGCATTTAATATTTTTCATGATAAATGTCAGCATTAATTAAAAAAAAGAGAACAAACCTTCCAGCTAATAAGCGACGGAAGAGACAAGCATCAACAAATATGCAACGCCTTGCAACGGTCAGTCAATTGCGGACATTGGCTCTCCGTTATTGGTAGACATACACTGTCGTTGTTTTTTGATATCGGCTTGTCATTATTTGAAGACGATGTCATGGTAACAATATATATATATATATATATATATATATATATATATATATATATATATATATATATATATATATATATATATATATATATATATATATATTTATCAGAATCAATAGGTTTTATACTTTACGCCAGTAGTAGGCAACCAATATTGCAAAGACTGAAATGCCTTCCATCTCGCCACTGAGCCGGGCTCGAATTTTATAAATTTATAAAAACTAGCAAAAACTGAAATGAGTGACATTAATGGTTTATAAAATACTTACCTTCTGGGCGACCATTAAATGGCCACCTAGAGACTTAATACATAATCACATACAAAAATTACCTATGCGGAGGCACGTTTAACAATGTTTTTACCCATACAATCAGTGATGCCAACTCGAGGGAAACTTCCCATTTTGAGGGAAATTTTACCTCAAATTGAAACAAATGGGAAAAAGGGAGATATTTTTAAAAACGGCCGTCCATGAGGGAAATTTATATTAATTCAAAATGAAAATTTATGATTAACCCTTTCCTACTTTTTCTAATCGAATAATTCGGATTTTTTTTAATTTTATAACTTTTTTTCATATTTTATACAAAAAATATATATAACTCTATAACTTTTAATGTACCTAACAAAACTTTATTTGGATTTACATAATAAAAATATGTATTCTTTTAAAGAACAAAACAATAGTCCGTATTTATAAAAGAAAGGATATGCTTATACTTTCAAAATATAAACGAAATCCTTCAGCCTTTTTATACATATAATCAAGCTAGAAGATTTCCTTCATATCTTTCAAATGTAAGCATAAGGATATATCCTTTTTTATCAATATGGCAAATTGTTTTATATTTTTATTTTACATTTATTTATGTATTTATACACGTTGTTTTTTATAGGTTTACTAATAAATACTGAACAGTAACAATACTAAATTTCTAAAATGCTGCCTTTTTTTCAAAATATTTCTTATATTTTAAAAAACATGTAACGGCATATTTTAAAAAAGTGGGAAAAAGGGAATTTTTGAACATTTTCAAGGGAAATTTGCTGCAAAAGGGTTGGCAACACTGCATACAATTGTGGATCACCCTACATTAATACATCTTTCTCTAAAATACCACAGTATAAATCCTTATGTTACAAAGGTTACAAAGGTTTTTACGGCCAACTATTCAATTATAATTATTGAAATGTAAATAAGTTAAAAAACGGTTTTAGTCAAAAAAGTAAACTAGATAATATAATCGTAAAAAAGTATATTTAGGGTAAAAAAAATGTAGGTGCAATAAACTAAAATAGGTGAAAAAGAATGAAAAAGGTACTTTAGATAAAACAATACTTTTTAAACATTATAAATTAACAAAATAAATTTGACCTTAAGTCCGGGCTCTAATGATAAGCAACAGCTAAGTAACGCCTCTTTTTAATGAACTCATATTCAAGCAGTATTGCAATACATACCTGTTAAATTAAACCTGGGTATACATTTTTACTTCTATAATATTATGTTAGTTTGAATTTTAATTTTAGCAAATGTACCTTTAACTTTACTGTACATCATCAGTTGTGGATTTAACTAGAGATGGGAATCGGAAAGTTTCCATTTTAAGGAAACTTTCCGTTTTGGAAAGTTTCCAATTGGGAATTTATTTTCATTTTGAAAGTTTCTTTTAAGCTACCGGAAACATTCCTTGGAAACTTTCCTTGTTTTTTTCATTTTAATTTCAATTGTTTAACCGCTGATTTTCGTTAAGGCCATGATACAAGGCCAAGAAACTTTGAATAAGAATTTAATGTGTGTTAATTTAAAGCAGAAGAAGAAGTATAAATAATGTAATGTAAACCTCAATGAAGCCGGATTATTCATCATCACAAAAAACTTAAAAAAAGGTAAACAAAATAAAAACAATAAACAAAGTTCAAATCATTCTTAAATTTTTGTTGTTTATTTATAGGCATAGCACAATACCAAGAAAAAAATCTAGTGTTTGGAATTATTTTTTACTTTACTTTTTACTTTTCAATATTCCTATATATTAGTTACTTTGTCCCTTTTAATTTTTTTTACGTAATATCTAGGATTTACTAGCAGTGAATTTCTAATAGTAAATATTTTATTTTTATTTTGTAGGTTTCAGTATACAATAGGAATATTCCAAAGTAAAAGATACCAAAAATAGTATTGCAGTTACATTCTTATAAACATTTTTTTATTTTTTTTCTTATTAAATTTGACAAAAAGTTAATGTGTTATATATTTTTGCAAATCCCTGGCATAAGAAAATATATTTTCGCAATAAAATTTTTTTTTTAAACTCGGGAATTTTAGATGGAAAGTTTCCGGGAATTTTCGTCAAATGGGAATTTTCCCATCTCTAGATTTAACTATATTATTTACACAGTTAAATATGTACAAAAAATTTAACAAATAAAACAAAAATTTGAAAATAATAAATATTTATTTTCTAGACATTAAGCGTAAATCAGTCCCCTTATTACCAGGCTTGCACAGCTGGTACGTGAGCTGCATAAGATAGTGGAGCAGAGTATGCATAAGCTGGGGCGGCAACAACAGCTGGAGCAGCATAAGTGGCTACAATTGGTTTGCTGATGACGTCCTTTCTATAGGTGCTGCTAACAGCGGCTGGTACGGCGTAGCTGTGAGCTACAGCAACTGGAGCGGAGTAGGCTACTGGAGCAGCGTAGGCCAAGGGAGAGGCTACGGCAGAGTATCCCAAGTGTCCTCCAAGGAAACCTGGTTTAGCTACAGCTACGGCTACGAGGGCGAACAACACCACCAATTTGAACATTTTGTGTTTTTTAGGTCTGTGTTGCGAGTCTTAAGACTGACTGACAGTTACTGATATCTTAAAAAGAATTAAGGAACTATTTATAGTCACGCTAATCCAATTTACGGAAATTAAAATTCAAGACAGCAATCCGTTGATTATGGTATATTACTTTCAGTTTCATTCAGGAGGCCTTGACCATGAATATTTACAACTGTTGGTCATACTTGTAGACAAACTTACACCGCTTAATTGTTTAATTAATTTAAGTAGGTACAGATTAAGAAGTTTATTTCCACCTTAGTAAATGACATTTTATAGGTTAATTTTGTTGTTTGTATCCGGGTCGTTTTCAAAAAACACCCGCCTTCCGCTGTCTGTAAGTTTGAATTCCAATAACTTTGTTAAAAATTATCGGATCTTATTGATTTAACAACCAAGTGGAAGCCTAACAAGCCCTTAGTAAACTCTTTCAGAAAATGTTTGTTTAGTTATTTCAGAATATTTTTTTTTAATTTTGAAACTTGTGAAACGAACATTTTCGCATGTCCCATTATCGTTTTATAAAACTTACATACATGTTTTTTTGAATATTGAATAGCCAAAACTTTGTGTTGCTTTATAGCAATCCATAATATCCTTAATTAATACAGTAAACAATTTATATATAAAATAATTAATTTTAATATACTGTTTTTAAAATGTGACTCATGTCCTAGACATTTTTTCCGTTGCGTTACGTCCGTCGCGTTACCGATAGAATATTAAAAAAAACATATATATGGCAACTTTTTTGGAACTCACGTGATCAACAAATGATGTTCGGACATACACATAACCCAGCTAAATTTATTTATTCAATCAATATCGGTTGAAACAGGTGCGGGTAAGGCGAATGTAATAATTGTTTGTCCGCTAAGTTACTCAAAAAAATAATAAAAATAAGGTAAGAAAAAATACTATTTTTCATGTTTATGTTTTTTTAGCGCACTAAAGCTCATTGAGAGTCCATTATGTTACCTTATGGTAACGCAATGGAATTTAGGGTAACGCAATAGAATTTTTTAACAACAAAGTGGATATTTACCGTCGCTTTTATTAAAAGTAGTTTATGATAAACCAATTTAAAATTATTTGTGATTACAACATGATATAGATTACATCCAAGGGAAAATTCTACGCAATATACAAGTACTAAAAGCTTATAGTCAAAGAAAAAGGGTGTCTACAATTTAGAAATCTAAGTTGTTATTCTGCAAGTGAGCACCACCACAAGGGATTTTGTTTATGCAATACTCTAAAATCGTATACGATTTTAGAGGTATATCACCCTTTATAGTTTCTTTTTTTACATTATCTGATTAAGTCCTTTGTGTACCCCAGTCCGTTGTGATACCAATGTCTATTTCGTTACTTTTTTTTGTTAAAAAAATACTTAAAATGATTTTTATACACTAAAAGAAAATATTAATGGTATTGTTTTTTTAACAAAGAATCGGAATGGTTTCTTTTAAAAAGTAACTTAACGAACATACATATTTTGAAAAGCATACAATTTTTAATAAAAAATAAAATAAAAAGTTGGAGTCAAAAGTTTCTGAACTAAGTACATTTTATTTCAAATTATTTTTATAACAACTTTTTTTATTGAATTAAATTTTGGATTTCAAATTGTTAACACAGTGGAGATATATAAACCCATTTTTCTGAAAAAAACGTAAAAAAAATTAAAAAGTGCACTGCCTGTCTTAAATGTAAGTAAACAAAACTCTAAACATTTATAAAAATCCAACCAAAAGTCAATTTAAGCAAAAAAAATTTTGATCTTCATTTTCCTGAAAGCGGGTGTTTCTTAAAAATGACTCATCCAAGTGAACGATACATTAGACCTGTAATATTTTACGGGCTTGTATAAAAGACCTGTAAAGTTTTACAGGCTTGTTGAAAAGCAATTTATGAAATGAAATGTCACATTTGACATATTAATTTAAATTTTAAATTTGAAAATCGTTATCTAAAGGTGAAAATAAAAGTTTGTACGTGTCATGCTTTGCAATTAATCTTTACTAGGATTATAAACTTCCAGCTCGCCCGTAAAGATTCATTTACAAAGCTTGACACATAAATAACTATTATGGGCCCTTTTATCCACTAGGTTTTTTTGTATTTATATGGAAGGCTTTTAAATGTATTGTGTATACAGGGTGGTTTAATAATTTCAAAATCAATAAAAAACTTTAAAATAATATTAATTTTCTTAATAAACATATAACAAAAACTCAACAGTTACAGAAAAACAAGGTGTTTAAGTTGCATATATTTTTTTTAAATGTATAAACAGAAATTTATCATAAACAAAAGAACGTATTTTAATTGATATTATTTTTTTAAATAGTTAGGCAAGAAATTCGTAATAATATGGATGACAATATCTCTTTTAAGAGAACAAAAAAGGTACGCCATTTATCTAAAACACTATTTCTGAAGTTTTTTCGTAAAATGTTTTTTTTACAGTATTTCCCACATGCCGATCAGTTTGGTCTTTTTAGACAATAAAAGGTACGGTACCTTAGGCACCCCAATAATCTAATAATTTTTTACATTTTTAAAACCAACAGTTTATTCATAAAATTAATGAATTCATTCTTAGTAATTTATAGCAACAAATCAAGAATGTTTATTTTAAAATAAACTAAATTTAACTTAATAACACTACAAAATATTTTACAACAAAAACTTACAATTAAAAATGAATGTCTGCTTTTTCACTATGACAATTAGTCAATTTAATTCATGTTAAGAAAGTAATACTTGCAAAAAATCATTCACTTTAAATGTATGATATAAATTTTGAAAAAAACAAGGAAAAACTGACAGTGACTGAAGTGGTTTATATTAGGGACTATAGGTAACATTAAATGGCAATCTTTGACCGACTCTTTAACCCGTAACCGGTACCAGTAGCGTAACTAGGGGGGGGCGGTCCGCCCCGGGCGGCACTTCTTGGGGCGGCAAAAATCGTGAGAGAAAATGCGAAAAAAAAAATATTTGATAATTAAATATTCTCTTTCGAAATAATATAATTCAAATTCCAATAGATTTGAGATTTTTACAATTACTCAGGTTTAAGTTTTTTTTGTAGGTACTTTTACATACGGTTGAGAATTTATCTCTTTATTTTTTTCATATAAATTATGTTAAAGCACATTTTATTTGTTGTTTTCCTTTACCTAGGTCTAAGAATTTTTGTTTGTTTTTAATTCTTAAAATATTACAATTTAATGTTATATATATATGTTATATATATATGTTATATATATAATTATATATTTTTAATTTTGCGTACGGTCCTCAAAACTGACTCCTAACCTAACCTCTCTTCCCCCCCAAAAAAAAAACATGAGGGCGACAGCCACTGCTGCCCCGGGCGGCACTTTTTCTAGTTACGCCGCTGACCGGTACTGTACGACTTTCAGGTCATAAACGGTACTAAGGGGTCTGAGAGACACCTGCCTTTTAAAATTATAATTTATATTATTTTTTTTATCTGAGGCTTTGGGGATACTAGGAAATATATATAAAGTTAGAATATCACCAAAAAATAATACCTAAATAAAAGAAAAATTTAAACAAATAGGTTTTAATCAAAACATGTACAAAAAGTGCAGTAGTGCAAACTTTGTGATTAAACTATAAAAAATATTAAACCAAACAAAATAAAACGATCTTTATTTCGAAGAATATACCTTAAAAAATAACATAAACAAAAAAAAATTAAATATGTCTTTTTTTAGCAGCAAAAATAACTGCTTCAAACTATAGCTAATTTTTACAATTATTTTTTCCATAGTAATTTTTTGTTTTTTTTTTTCAAATTCTTAAAAAATTTCAAATTCTTCACTATCTGACCCTATAAAATTATTTTCTATAGACTCTTCACAGACAAGTCCTGAATCGCTGCTGTGATTATCTTCAACGACATAATCACTATAATGGTTATGTAGTATACTACAGTCATCTATATCACTTTTATCGCTGTAGATTTCATAAAACCACTACATTACAGTTTCCTTAAAGCCTTTCTTATCACTTTGGACACTTTTAGAAGGCCCTTGTTGCGAATCCATAACGAATTAATTGTTTTATAAAAATTACGTAAACGGTACGCAGTGGTCTACTAGACACCTCAACACTTTGACTTGTAATAATTTGTCCGTTTGACAATCCAACTTGTTCAAAGTCTGAGAGCATATTGATAACTGCTCAACTTAAAAGTATTGGAAGCGACAGATTTTTAAAACAAAAGGTGAGGGTGGGACAGGGCTTTGTTCGTTGATGAGTTCCTAATTAATAATCACTATAAATATCTTTAGTTGTGGAATTAACTATAGTTATAACCATGTATATTGAATACATAAATATATTGAAACAAAAATTAAGACAATTTTTTAATAATAATAATAATAAAAATAATTTATTTCTTTAAATAAAAATACAAAATAAATTTAAAAGCCTTGCATATAAATACAAAAAAACCTTATGGATAAAAGGGCCCATAAACTTATTATTCTGTACTTAAATTTACAGGAAATCCATTAACAATTTGTCTGTGCTATTTTATCTACAAGTATGACCAACTGTTGCAAATATTCATGTTCAAGGACCTCCTCAATAAAACTGAAAGTAACATATAATCTACCGTTTGCTGTCTTTAATTTTAATTTTCGTAAAATGTATTGGTGTGGCTATAAATACTTCCTAAATTCGTTTTAAGGTATCAGTAACTGTCAGTCAGTCTTAAGACTCGCAACACAGACCTAAAAAACTCAAAATGTTCAAATTGGTGGTGTTGTTCGCCCTCGTAGCCGTAGCTGTAGCCAAACCAGGTTTTCTTGGAGGACATTTGGGATACTCTGCCGTAGCCTCTCCCTTGGCCTACGCTGCTCCAGTAGCCTACTCCGCTCCAGTTGCTGTAGCTCACAGCTACGCCGTACCAGCCGCTGTTAGCAGCACCTACAGAAAGGACGTCATCAGCAAACCAATTGTAGCTACTTATGCTGCTCCAGCTGTTGTTGCCGCCCCAGCTTATGCATACTCTGCTCCACTATCTTATGCAGCTCACGTACCAGCTGTGCAAGCCTGGTAATAAGGGGACTGATTTACGCTTAATGTCTAGAAAATAAATATTTATTATTTTCAAATCTTTGTTTTATTTGTTAAATTTTTGTAAATATTTCGTCACCTGAGTATTGATTTGTTCTATGTCCAATATGTTATAATCGAGATAAACGGGTTTGAAACTTTTACATTAAATATCTTATTTGTTTTTTAATGAAAACTTAATTAAACATTAATAACAATATTCTTGTTTAGCCTTTAATTAGTTCTATTGAGCAACTCTTATCTCAAGTTTGGATTTATGCCTCAATATTGGAAAAAACGTTTTGGAGATAAAACAAAAAGTGCTATTTTTGGATTTTAGAAACAAAATGTTGGACATATAACAAAGTTTTAGGACATTAAACAAAACTGAATTAAAAAACACTTTATTTAATAATGATTTACTTTAATAATAATAATAATAATTATTGTCAAAATACAATGTCATATACATGTAAATAAGTGAAAAACGTTTACTGGCTAAAGTGGATATAGAACAAAACAATTTTATACTTATAAGGAAGCTTTCCTTGGAGATAGCACAAAACAGTTATAAAATATATTTTTCATATGGATATAGCACAAACAAATACTAATTATTTTCAGATTTTTACAAACACATAGAGCAAAAGAAAGCATGTAAGCGAAATTTTGGAGATAGAGTAAACCAATTTTAAACCTTTTATACTAACCTCGGATTTAGACTAACCTAAACTAAAAACTGACACAATTATATCAAAATACTATTAACAAACCAACTTCAACTTTCCGAAAATGCATGAACCTCAAAATGGTAAAAAATAGAGATAGCAGTGCTATCATAGCACAAACCAATACTCAGGTGACGATTTAACTGTGTAAATAATATAGTTAAATCCACAACTAAAGATATGCATATTGATTAGGAATTAGGAATATTTTAATAATATTTTGATTTCACTCAAGGTTTAATGAAATATTTTTAAAGGTACATTTGCTAAAAATTTATCGTATATTCTCAAAATTATAACTTATTATAATCCGTTTTAACTTCGAACAGCCCTCGTAGACTATTTATGACCATAAAAGTTAATTAAATTGTTTATTTTTTGCATGAAATGTGTACTCAGGTTTTATATAACATACGTCTTGCAATACTGCTTGTTTTATAAAAAAGAAGTCTTCTGACCAATTTTTGTTTTACCTAAAGTACCTTTTGGCATTCTTTTTCACCTATTTTAGTTTATTACATCGCATTTTTTTACGATTAGTAGTTTACTTTTTTGGCCAAGAACACTTGTATCTAAATTTACATTTTAAAAATTATAATTATAGAGTCGGTCGAAGATTGTTAAAGTTTGGTACTTATAGTTTGCCATTTAATGGTACCTATAGGTCGCCCTAATAAACAAAATTTATATTATATAAAAAATGACTAATTGAATCCAAAAATTCAAAAGTTCTGAAAGTATTACGGTTTTTAAGATTTAGGAAATCTTCCATAATATGAACTATATCTCAAAAATGGTTCTACTCAGTGACCAAATGTCCGGGATATACATTGCTGTATGTAGTCTATAGACTAGAGTTACCAGTAATGGGTCAAGAAAGTTTCTTAAAGAAACTAAACAAATTGAATGTTTATAATAATTTATGTTGGCCCCAGAGTGGAAAACTCTAGACAACGTTTTTTCAATAGCAATTTCAGTGCCTTACCTATTATTTATATTTATTATTAGCAATAACTTTATTTTTAAATTAAATCCTATAGGGCCTTACGTATTTATTTATTTACAGAGAAATTATAATGTACAGGTACCTGTATATTTTATATGTACCTACAATGTACATTGTACATCACACCTATGGTTTTACAACAATATCGACCCATTTTATTTTTTTATTCAAATAACTCAGGTTTATTGTCCCAAATTAAGTTATATTTTTTGACTAGTTTATAAACGGGCCTAAGTTATCATGAAACTACAAGGTGTAAAGCAAGACTGTTAGATAAAAGTTGTGATTATTATAGTTAAAAAATAAAAAAATAATTATTTTTTTCTACTCCCATCTTAAAAACGTCCATCGTATTTGTTTCCATGACAATAAGTGATCTTTACCAATAGGTTTTTAGTCACGTTCTGAAGTTAGCTTTAAGTTAGTTGACAGTTGTCAAATGTCTTAGAATCGTTAAAATAAAGTGCCCTTCTTGTAAAATAATAGTAAATGTGAAAATTTCTTTATTATATCAATAGAAAAATACAAAAGCATTAAATAGTTTCTCAACGCCAATATTTGCAAAGTTTATATGAACATGGTACTGACATTTTAATTTCGCCGGCAGTAAACTAAATATAACTTAAAGTCGGGTTTGGACTACACCGTGAAGTGCTAATAAAACATTTTCTTTACTTTCACTGTGAAAAACTGTTTGTTAATCAATTTTAAAGAGATACATTTTAATTTATTATCTTATGTTTATAACATACAAATTTGAAATTTGACGGTAACGAAAATTCCCGTATTGTTTTATAGGTGGCGCTCTTTACAAAAACTTAATTTAAATCATATTTAGATAATACCAAGTATTTGTCGTATAAAAAGTATAGTGTGCAACTCAAACTTTTCTAGACACTAATTAAATAAATTCTAAAATGGCGTGTATCAAACTTGATACATAATATACTATTAACATCCCCTCTATTAAAGCATTAAAATAAACTACTCACTTAATTATCATTTATAATTTAAAAATTTTAATCAAGTAAAAGGTGAAGGTGATTAAAATTAATAAAAATTGCTTAATTTTTTACAAAAGTAATAGTAATGGTAAAAAATTTGGTAGTCGTTTGTGCCTAGTCGTATCTTATTTTAAATAGTTGATTTTTTATGTAAAATTTTAATAAAATACATAAATTTTATTTGCATCTAATTTAATTTACCTAGCATAATATTATTTATTAGATTTATTTTTTTGCATACTAATAAAAATTCTAAAATATTTATAGGTCATATTTATAGTCAAAATTTAAAATTTAAAATATTTATAAAAACCTTCTATTCATTTTAACGTTTAAGAAATCTTGCAATATTATTAAATAAATTATAATTAATGCAAACGCTTTCAAGATATTTTCAAAATATTATTATAAATTTCAAAATTCAATGTCAATGTTGCCTGTATAAATAGACAATCAGAAAGATACCTAATATCAGTAAAAATCAGTAAGTCTGTAGACTCGCAACACAGACCTTTAAAAATCAAAATGTTCAAATTGGTGGTGTTGTTCGCTGTCGTAGCCGTGGCTGTAGCTAAACCAGGATACCTTGGAGGACATTTGGGATACTCTGTCGTAGCGTCGCCCTTGGCCTACTCTTCTCCAGTAGCCTACACTTCTCCAGTTGCCGTAGCTCACAGCTACGCCGCTCCAGCTGCCGTCAGCCACACCTACAGAAAGGACATCATTAGCAAACCAATCGTAGCCACCTACGCTGCTCCAGCTATTGTTGCCGCTCCAGTAGTACAAAAGACCATCGTAGCTGCTCCAGTACTTCACAGGACCATTGTAGCTGCTCCAGTACTTCACAGGACCATTGTAGCTGCTCCATCTTACGCTTACTCTGCTCCACTTTCTTATGCTGCTCAGGTACCAGCCGTACAAGCCTGGTAAAAAGAGGACTGATATATTATTTATGTATAAATAAACTACTTTATTTAATTAATATAGTTGTTTCTGGTTTTTAAACCATTTCTAAAATTAAAAGAAAATCTTTAATGGTGAATTAATATTTGGCTTAGCAATTCCTTCATCCTTAAAGCATAGTAAGTAACAACACCAAAATATGCAACATTTAAAAATGATATACTTATTTATCTGTTCAACATTAATGGTTTTACATTTAACGTCTTTTGTTTAGGATTATTTATTGTCACTAAGTTTGCAAAACTTGTGTATACCTGTATAGTAGGGTGGGCCGAAAATCCGCTTTTTTAGAATTTCGTTTAGTAATAGCAAAAATTTTGTTCATTATGTTGTAAAAAAAAAAATGTGTAAAGATTAAAATTTTCGATCAACATCCTAGGCTCGCCCAACGCAATTAAAGATCAAAATGTTCAAAAAAAAATTTTTCTTAACTTATTTTGATCGGAAATTTTATGCTCTACACAAAATTACTTCAGATGGATAGTTTCAGAAATTTGTTGTAAAAAAAAATTGTGTAAAAGATTAAAATTTTCGATCATCATCCTAGGCTCGCCCAACGCGTTGCAACGCAACTAAAGATCAAAATGTTAAAAAAAAAATTTTCCTAACTTATTTCGATCGGAAATTTTATGCTCTACAAAAAAGGTCCTTACACAAAATTACTTCAGATGGATAGTTTCAGAAATAAACCCGATTTTAGTATCAACATTTTTTGAACATTTTGATCTTTAATTGCGTTGGGCGAGCCTAGGATGTTGATCGAAAAATTTAATCTTTTACACAAAATTTGTTTACAACATAATAAACAAAATTTTTGCTATTACTAAACGAAATTCTAAAAAAGCGGATTTTCGGCCCACCCTACTGTATAGGTAACTAACAGTTGTTAATTTTTAAAATTTAAGTGTAAGGGTAAGTGTTACATCATGCTGTTACACGAATAACAATAACAAATAAAAAAAAATTAGGCTGTTTACTAGTGTTATTATCAAGGACCGGATTTTAGGCAAAATGCCTTTTTGTTTCTATTTTAGGCATTTGTTTGGGACCTTCAAATTAAACCTAAACTTAAAAAAATAATTTGTTTTTGCCCAAAAGCCTAAAATGGCGAAATTTTGATTTTTTGTCCTAAAAGGACATTTTTATGAGCCTAAAATAGGCTCTTTTCATTTTTCAGTAAAAGATATATTTTTCATTGCGAAAAAATAAATTATTTTTAATTAGAACCTGCTTTCATGCTCTTATTTCGCCTAGACGCCCTTGGCGAGTACGAGGACCACAAATTACAAAACTAGTGAAAACCTAATAAAAAAAGTAATTGTGTTTTTGCCATCTAAATATTTATTATAAATAATTATAGATAATACATATTAAGTTTGTAAAATAATGGATGAAAATTATTATTTACTTTGTTTTCATAGGTTTTACTGTAATTTCCGTATATGTATTACATATATGGTACACAGAGAAAAGTAATCTCTTGATTTTACTATATAATAATAATAATAATAATAACTTTATTGTGAAAAACAGTACAATACATGTATCACAAAAGGAATGAGTTCAGCTTCACTGATCTTCCACTCACCCAGCAAACAAAAATAATTTTAAATTGTAAATAAACAATAAGTATATAAAAACTAACAAATATCAACAACATATTATAATTATAAGATTACAAAATTTCTTTGGCTTGGATCTCTAATAAAATTTTTAAGATATTAATTTTAAAAGTCCCAAGGGATATATCACTACTCCACAAAATAAAATTTTTATTCACAATGCTGGCAGCCAAATATTCGAAGGAACTCTCAAATTTTTTTGTTTTATGGTATGGAATTGACAACAAACAATTACTTCTAACATTTACATCATGACTATTATATCTATATTCCAAGAGTGAAAATAAATATAAGGGTAATTTAGTTTTAATAATATTGAACAACAGAGTCGCAAATTGCTTGTAAAAGACATATACACATTTCAAAATATTTAACCTAATATAGTGTGGACCTACATGGTCTCTGAAGCTAACATTATAAGAATATCTTAAGCAGCAGTTTTGTACTTTTTGAAGTAAATTTTGAATTTTTTTATTTGCATAGTTAAAGTAGACAGCACCACAATAATTAAAATTACTCAAAATAACAGCCTGACATAAATTCCATTTTACATCACTACTTAATACCTTTTTAAACTTATATATTGATTTAAATTTCACAAAAGCACCGGAACAGAGTTTGCTAACATGCCTCTCAAAGTTCAAATTGCAGTCCATTATTACACCTAAGTTTTTAGCATAGTCTTGTAGTATTATCACAGAATCATTAATTAATATATCACAGTTTATTATTCTAGCAGTTTTTGCACATAAAATAGTTGAACCCAGACACATGGCCACGGATTTGTTAGGATTTAATAGTAGCCCATTTTTAGTAGACCACTCACTCACACCTTTAAGATCTTTGTTTATATTACATATTGTTTCATTTACATTGCATGGAAAACATGACATATACAGTTGGGTATCATCCGCATAAAGTTGAACAGAACAATAATTTAGAATATCTGGCATATCTGAAGTGAAAATTGTGAATAACAAAGGGCCCAGTATACTACCTTGAGGGACACCTTTGTTAATTCTTAGCAGATTTGATGAAGTTTCATATAATTTTACATATTGCGTTCTGTTAGTTAAGTAGTCCCTGAACCAGGCAAGAACTGAATGATCAAATCCATAATAGTGAAGTTTAGCGAGTAGTAAGTTATGGTTGATAACATCGAATGCTTTACTATAGTCCAGAAGTATTAATATTGTTATTTGTGAATTATCGATCGCTCTAGCAATGTCATTTGTCACTTTTAAAAGTGTAGTAGAGGTGCTATGGTTTTTTCTAAAACCTGACTGAGTAATAGGGAGGATACCAGTATTAACATGTTCTGTAACTTATCTGTCTTGACTCAAATAAATTATTTATTTCGATATGATACAAGAAGATATTTATTTAGTGGAAAACTTGGGTTTATTTGACTTTTTAAACTGATGGTTTGTTTAATACAAGTAAATATTTAGTTGACTTTTTATCTCAGGTTTAGTAGAATCTTACTTAAAGAAACAAAACATTTACTTGAAGTAAGTAATTCATTTTTTTAAATTAAATGTGAAGCTTTCTTAAAGAAACAAAATATTTACTTACATGAAGAAAACAATTTATTTCAGACAAATAATTAGTAGGTACAAAGATACAAAAGTAATATTATAATTTCACGAAATATATAGTGATTGAACCAAACAAATGTTTGCTTGTTTTAATACTATGATTTATTTATTTTAATGTTGTTAATTACTTAATATTTGGTCGGGAAAATTAAATTAAAAAACGTTTATTCCAATATTTTTTATTTGAACAAAACAATTGTACACTTGTTTTGTTGTAAATACGTATGTACAATAAACATTAAAAACACACAATATAAAATTAACAATAAACAAAACATATAATATATAAGCGGACAAAAATAGGAACAAAAAATACTTCAGTCACTGAAGTTCAGTGTAAATATTAATGCACGGCATTAATAAAATACACCAAGTCTGTGGGTAAAAGTCATCAGAGGATTAGTCAAAACAAGCAATTTTTCAGCAAAATTACTTGTACTTGTCAAATACAAAAAGAAACGGTTTATTTTTAGTTTATCATATAACTTTGTAGTTTCCAAACTACCTAGGTACACAAAATTTTAATTAACTAAATAACTTTTACTTACCAACAAAACTAAAAAGCAAATGTGTTAAATTATTTTCTTTGAAGAATTCTTCCATACTATTAAACATAAGCACTTAAAGACAAAACTATAACCGTTGATTAAACACCCCCTTCTCTTAAGTTAAGAGTCTTAACGCTTTCCCAAGGACGCTCTGCGAGTTTGTTTGCAAATGCTGCCGGCTGCCGGACAAGCGTCTTTGTCTTTGGAGTCAAATGCTCTAATTGGCTCCGTGAGTCACGTGGACATAAAAGCAAATAAATATGTATTTGGTTCAAGTAAATGTATTTTCTTAAATCAAGAGATTACTTTTCTCTGTGTAGTTTCAGACTTTTTAACAGTTTTTAGTAATATAATTAAATAACTCCCCACAATTTACAGCTGGTAAATAGTTTTTCTATAAAGACAATAGATGGCTAAAGCCAACTTTGACAACCCTTGGAATCAACGTATCGTGCTTTTGTTTGTATTTGTTTATATATATTATATATATTGGCAAAATATTTGCAAGAGTTTGTGTTATTATTTTTATTATGTATTTTATATTAAGAGATACATATGTATTTATTGTTTTATTTTTTATTGATAGGAGCTGAATAAATGTTATGTTTAATCGTGTTGTTTTTATTTCATATTGCCTATTTATGTGTCCTAATTTCCAATTTTTAAGGGCCTAAAATTTGGTCTTTGGTTATTATTATTATTTATCAATATGTTTATAATTTTAGGTCTATAGAGGTCCCAAAAATAGAGCACGACTACTAGGAGATTGGTAATTTTTATTTTTTTATCTTAATGGTTATTTCATGCAGTGTGTCCAGAAAATAAAGCACAACATCACCGAAAACAAAACACATGAAGAAACGCGAAAACATCCAAGTCCTCCAAGCACACGATTTCCCCTTGCATCGCGTACCCGCTTTGGTGTGTTGCACGGGGAAACCGTGAGCTTAGAGGATTGTGTAAGAAATACTTGCAGTTTAAAAAGTGCTTTCAAAATGGCAATATCAACAGTTTTAAAGAAATTGGGGTCAAAAAAAGCTTACACAACCCTTAGATCTTAGTTTTAAATCTCAGTTTTCTGAGATATTGTTAACCCTGTATCTCGAAAACGGTGCGTTTGCTGACACATGTTAATAGGACATTTTTTTCCTGGAATTAGTCAAGGAATCACATACTTCATTTTCCGACTCATGTTTTGAAACACCCTGTATATATATATATATATATATATATATACCAGTGTATATTTCAAATTTCTAAAATTGCAAAATTTTTAAATAAAGTGATTTTGGCATTATTAGCTGTGTATACTCTTTATTGGTACGATTTGATCTTGATTTTAACAGAGTCTGTAGTATCATAGTACCATACTGCCGTGCTTAATGAAAACGCCGTAACCAACAATTTTGCGATTTTTGTTTTACGGCATTTTCTACTAGAACAATTCATCCTGTGTCTATACCCGGTACTCAAAAAACCGTATATATATATAGATACGGTTTTTTGAGTACCGGGGATAGACGCAGGATGAATTGTTCTAGTAGAAAATGCCGTAAAACAAAAATAGCAAAATTGTTGGTTACGGCGTTTTCATTAAGCACGGCAGCATACTACTAGTATGGTCACCTCATTTTAATATCTACATCAAAACAATTTAACGTATTCAAAAGAAATTGTTTAGCCTTACAAATGGGAATTTTAAGTAAAGTACCAAGTTATAAAAAAAATTGTCTTATAGAGACTACAACTGGATAACGTTTATCTAACGCTTATTTTAATTTTTAAACTATTAAATAGACAAGTGAATTTTTCATAGTAGCTTGAGGGTATTTGGACTTAAGTTCGTTTAGTTCTTAACCAAATTTTCTATTAATTTTTATTTATTAAACATTTTCATTTGTGTAATAAATGATACTTATACAAAATTTGTTAAAACTGGCTTTGTCATTAATAAAGCATTATTAATATTATCTATTATCAAAATTCAGGTACACATATTAAATATAGTACTAGATAATTAAATAACAATTAAGTGAGTTTAATATAAATATATTTAAAATTCATATAACTGTACAGTTGTTTAATTTCTACAAAAACATAAAGATGTATAAGCTTTTCGTATTGAGTGTTCTTGTAGCCGTAACTGTAGCCACTCCCGTTGGATATGGTGCAAGTTTTGCCTACACCGCTCCAGTGGCCATCGCTCATTCTGCTCCAATTGCCCATGACATTCATGTTCCAGCTGCAGTCAGTACCTCATTTCGCAGAGACGTTATCCACAAACCAGTAGTAACATCCTACACCGTTCCAGAAGTTGTTGGCTCTCGTCCAGTCGTTGAGAAATTTGTAGGACAAGCTCCAGTCTACGAAAGAACCCTTGTACAACCAGGTCCACTTGTTGAAAAGACCTTAGTTCAACCAGCTACCTACACTGCTCCTGTTTTATCTCATGCAGCTCCATTGTCTTATGCTCAAACGTGGTAAAATGTATATTAATAGTAGTAAATAAATTAATATTAAAATTATTCAACTTTTTTACTTTATAAAGGTTCTCTGTTTTAGACTAAAATAATATAAAATAAAATAAAATAAATACACAATCATTATGTTAAAAAGAATTATAATTAAAAATTCTTAACTTTTTAATTAATGTGATTATATTCTGCTTATTTTTTATATAGTAACACATTTGAAAATTTGTGGAATTTGAAATGTTTTAAGCATTCAAAGTGAGTGTTCTATCAACTGCGTATAAATTGTTGTTGTGTTAGTCTTGTACTAGCATTAGTCATTTTGGATGCTTTAAACATAATCCCAAATTTGACAAATTTTTAGATGTGTCACTCTTGCAGCCGAGGTGCAATTTGTTGATACTAATAATATTATAATAATATACAGGGTGTTAAAAAATAAATGGTAAAAACTCAAGGGGTCGAACTCCACACCAAGACAAGCATGTTTTATCCTGGGGTTTGAAAAAGTAATTTTAAGTGTTTTTTAATATCTCTAAAAGCACTTTGAATATTATTTCTAATTTTGTTGTGTTGTTATACAAATTTCCCATTTTAATTACAATCATCATATAATAACAATTTGTATTTAACCAATAAAACTTATTTTTCTCAATCAAATAAAAGAATTTTGGAATTGAGACAAACATTTAACCATCATCTAACGAAAATCAAATAAGAAATTTGTAAAGTATACAAGCTAAATCTTTAAGGTAGCTATATTTTCATCAAGTAAAGCATTTAGGATCTCTTTTTCGCAAATATAGTCAGTTTAATAGAAATTGTACCTCCAAGATTATAGATGATAAACATGACTGGGCGCCTTATTTTTGTCCAAATAGGATTAAAATAATAATGTTTATATAACAATTGTTTATTTATATTGGTTTTAAAAATGTCCACCCAAAGATAATACACCCCATAGATTGGAAACTGCACTAGCGCTAGCGGCAAAATGCCAAAGTAAATTAACGCCATCTAGGTCTACAATACCCTTAGCAATTCCAAAAATTGAAGTATATTTCTGTAACATATATTGGCGCCATATTTGAATGTTGATGCATCGTAGGGTGCCTTTATATATTGTATATACTGCTGTATTTTAAATAAAACAAGTATGAATATAAGATTTATTTATTGTAGTAATAATATAATATAAAATAAAATACATACATCTATATGTACATATTAAATACATAATCGGTATACATGAATATGTTTTTGTTTGTGGAGTGCAAACCTAAAAAATATTAGTCTTAATTCTTCAATAATAAGAGAATATTGCAAAATTTTGTAATTTAGTCCAGGCTACATATACATATAGGAATTTGTACAAGGCTTTTGAGTGTGGACTTTTGGCAAGTTCTAACCAACCGTGAAAAATCCATCTTGCCAACTATTGGTTTTGAAACAACCATAAGTAGCCTGGGATTGGCCTGGACTAAATTACTATTAAACAAGCAATCCTAAATAATTCATAATTAACAAACAGTATACTGTTTGTTAATTATGAATTATTACATATTATTATATATTTTTACGCTAGAGCGATACTGCCGTGCTTAGCCAAAAAGACGCATTTTTACTTTATAAATTATAGCGCTTTATTGTTTTTTTTCTAAGATATTTTTAATTTAATTAGACATTTTTAAAAATGTACTTTAAAATGTATGTTTAATTAAAATACGTCTTTTTTCCAAGAGAATAATTTAATAATAACGAGATGAGTCTTTTTGGCTTAGGACGGCAGGATAGTCAATACTTAGAAATTGGTTACATTTTCGCGCCCAACAACAATACATTTCACAACCATTAACAAGTTTTATCACTTTTAAGGCGCCAAAATGTATTTAATAATTCAGAAATTATTAACGACATCAATAATTATGATTGACATTGACATTTGCAAATAGCGTTTGTACAAATGTCTGCAATTTACAAATAGATATAGTTCAGGTATTGTAGCTCTAGAGGGCAGTGATGGAAGAGTTTCCAATCTATGGGGTGTATTATCTTTGTGTCCACCTACTAAACAAAGAGAAGCGACCATCGGCCATCGGCCTGGCTAAACCAGTTATAAAAAAATTGGTTAAACCTATTGTCGAAAATTATGTCAATCGTAGAAAGAACCGCTATCCAACCAAAACCAAATGTAGGAAAGACCGTTCTCCAACCAGCCTCTGAAAGCCATGTATACAGAAAAGATATTATCTCTAAACCATTACGACTGGTATCAATCCACTTTGATCTAGTAGTAGCTCCAATTGTTTGTGCCGCCCCAACCGTAAACTCTGCACAACTTTTACCCTCTTTATCCATTTATTCTGCTTTATTTACGGTACATGGTTAGAATACTTCATTGGGCTATTCCGATTGGTAAATCTACAAAAAAATCTAATATCAATTTGAACAAATAACATATTTTCAAATAATTAGGTTTAGGTTAATACAAATAAGGTTTATTCTGTTACCAAAATTAATTCATAGCAAGTATAATATATTCTTAAATATAATCATTAAATTGATTATAAATATATATATTTTTATGTATATCAAAGATAACTAAATTTTGCTATAATAATAACAAAACATCCCTGTGAACACTTGCTTTATACTTAAAACATTCTTACATGTAATCATTCCAATAATAAAAAGTGACACTATCATTATTTTAATAATAAAAACGTACTCTATCTTCAAATTGAGCATAACAAAAGAACCGCGCAAAAATACGTTCTACAAAGAGGGCGGCATCAATCTTCTTTGGCATAATTAAGTAAACTTCCGATGCGCGTGGACCTGTTTTGTGTAATTATTGTGCCTGTGGTTTGTTCTGTGGTGGTGATTGTGTTATTTTTTAAAGAAATAGTATTTCTGAAATACCCATTATGGAGGAATTGCTTAGAACATGGGGGTATCCTGACGAAGTAATAAATTGATTTCTACGTAAGTACCATGGTACAAAAAAATATTTGATATTTTTTCACATCATAAAGTCATTTGTATTGCTTTACCCTTTACAACAAAGCATAAATGACATTTGGTGGCTATACAAATATTTTGTTTACCTATTACCTATATATTAGGTATTATCATTGTGTACTAAACATGTATAGTCTTATTTTGATGTATATTGCAGTGGGTAGTAAATTTTACTTATTATCAAAGACCCTATATAAATGTATTAAGAATTTGTGTTTTTATTTAGAAAATATTGTATTTTTATTTAGAAAATAAATCGTTCCATATTATTTTTTGTTAGTTTTCATTTAAAAATAAATATAGTAATCTAAAAATAAAGAAGTTTAAAATAAAAGTTAAGTATGATAAGTGTTACAGTAGGTATAATTCAATTTAACCTAAAGGAAGACCTAATTTCAATATTAACATATAAAAATACAAGCCCAGCATATTCTTATTTAAACCTTAAACTACATGTTTCAATTAAAAAATAGTTTTACTACGATAAAGACAAGCTATATTAACATATATAATAATTATTTTCAATTTGAACTTAAACTATATTTAATCTAAATAAAACCAATTCTAAATATACCCAGTTAAGTTTTAAATTGAAGTTAAGGCTAATATTAAATCGAGTTTAAATTTAAATTTACACCTATAACATAAGTACTCTCAAGTTAAATACAAAGTAGGTATACATTTGGTATAAAAGTTAAAGAAAAGGTAATTTTAACGTAAGCATACACTAATCTTGCTCCTATTCATGACTATGATAGTTTCATACTGATGCTAATAGTTTCAACTCGAGATTAGATTTTTTTGTGTGTAGAAGTTTTTATGTCGTTAAATAAAATGTTGTAAATATATGAATTTTGTTTTTATTATAATTTGATATTTAATATTAAGAATTATTAAAATATCTAAATATATACACTTAAATAAAATTTCTAAAATAAAATTGTTTATATTTTTATCAAACCAATTTAAAAAGGTAGCCTAAAAAGAAAAATATTTAAACAATACTACTAAAAATTTAAAACATATCAAAAATGCTGTTTTGTTGATAATGTTAAGGCTATTCTACATAAAAGTGCACTGAAAAAAATAAGCTGTTGAAACAACAAAAAAAATATTAATTCAACTCTTTATGCACTTTAAATACAAGCAATGGTTTTTGCACGTTTACTTAACCATCTAAAAATGTCAAATTGTATTGTTTAATTGAACAACAAATAACAGTCAAATGAACAAAATAAGAATATTTGTTCTAATCTGCTAATTTGGTTAATTTAACATTCTTAGGGTGTTAAGGTAAATTTCTTGAAATGTCCAGGTAACCTTTTAAGCATATTCACTTAACACCAATAAAATGTTAAATTAACATTCTGAAAATGTAAAATACTTTAAAGGTTGGTATCCAAAATAATATATTATTATATATAAATAGAAAGAATTGAACCTTCACCTCGCCCAGAGTTTTTGTTTTGAGCGTGTTCCACCCATGATACATCTTTGTATCATGTGTTCCACCTACTTCAAATACCGACAGACTGTTTTGCCCTGTATTGAGGGTCTTAACAGTGTCGGGCAATATGGTGTAGTGAAAGTTCTACTGTGGAACACACCTTAAACAAACAGATATCTCATCTTATACACCTAATCGTAAGCTAACTAAGGCGAGATGTAAGAAAACGTCATTGTCTAATGACGTGGCGTGAGTGTTCGAAGCGCCATTCTCGGCAATTTTATGAATGCAAATTTTACATTTTAAATTTTAAAGTAACATTTTAAATTTGTTAAATGAACAAATTTAAAGTTTTGGATTAAAGAGCAACTAATAGTTTTTTTAGGTAATCCTAAAAATTTCAGTAGTTGATTCAACAAATTCCAGCTATTAAATCAAAGTACGATAAACATTTTAATTCAAAATATTAGTTTATGTTAAATTAATATTTAAACTGTCAAATGAACAAATAAACTTTGACAAACTCTGACTTTTGCTTTAACACCAAAATATAGATTAATCCAATAGGTTTTTTGTTGAAACAACATTCTTAAAAATGACATTTAGGCAAATGTTAACTCAACTACATTATTTTTTTCGGTGTGTGGCAGATAATCCTCATAATTATACGGTGCCCACTGCCGAGAGGTGAATCACGAATTTTTCTGGACCAAATTAATTTATTCCTTAAAAATTAAAGTAAAAAATAGGGTCAAATTTTTAACACATAAAATTGACTTTAAATTCTTCTTTGTGTTCGTCGTAGATAAAGTATAGTATGCAACTTGTTTTATAAACTTCTCTAGACACTCGTTTTTATTACACACTCGCTCGTGCTTAATAAAACTCGTAACTTAAATGGCGTTTATAAAACTTGATACATAATATTACTATGAAAGGGGACAAAACAAGGCAGCGGGGGAGTAAAATGGGGTACCCAAAAACAATTTTTTTTAGTAAATGGAGGTGTGACTGAGTACACGTTATTCTTTGAAATAAAAAGGATTTTTCTTTTTTGTATGATCGTGTATTGTGAAAGTTTTAATTTGCAGAGCGCTTTCGGCCTTAAGCCATCTTCAGTGCTTCAATTGTCAGTTGACAGGAGTATATGTCTATGTTCATTTTTATTTACAGCTACTCAAAATAGTACTATACATATAACCCACAGATATGCTTATATTGTACAAAAATCTTCATGTCGTGTGTTTAAAATTAAACACACGACATGAAGATTTTTGTACAATATAAGCATATCTGTGTGTTATATGTATAGTACTATTTTGAGTAGCTGTAAATAAAAATGAACATAGACATATACTCCTGTCAACTGACAATTGAAGCACTGAAGATGGCTTAAGGCCGAAAGCGCTCTGCAAATTAAAACTTTCACAATACACGATCATACAAAAAAGAAAAATCCTTTTTATTTCAATTTTTTTTAGATTGTTTTTTTCGGTTTCTAAATTATTTGAAAGTATATAGAGTCACAAGTTCACGCTTTTATTCGAAAATAATTATTCGGAGCCTGTAGAGCGAGAAAGAGGATGGTACAATTTTGGAAAACTTTTCATATGCTCATTTTTTGGGTACCCATTTTGCCCCCCCCCCCCGCTGCCTTGTTTTGCACCCTTTCACCTCCCGTCTGCTAATTGTACCATAAAATTAAAAAGAAAACAGAACTTTGATGTTAATGAAACTTTGACCTCGAATAACTGTAGAAGAATTTAATTTATAGAAAAATAATAAGAGAGCTTTTTTGTAGAGCGTTACATTTTATATAAGAAACTGCAATGATCATTGCTATAAGTTACTTTGATACAGAGGTATAAAATTTCAAACATAAAATTATTTTTTCCCATGTAAATTAAAATAAAAACAGGGACCTTTTACAGTTGAGCTGGAACGAACGCCCATATTTGGTGAGGATTTTTTTTATATTAAATAGAAACATTTAAGAGAGTAAGAGCGAAAAAAAAATTAAATTTTATTTTTTGAAGCACCCTAAGGTAGACGCTATATTTTTATATTTAGTTTTAAAAAGTTAAGTTATTTAAAAAAATGTTTTACTAGTCAACTATGGTAAGATATAAGCTATAGCTTAAATCCTATAATCATTTAATTTAATTTCCGGTATAGAACTGCTAGAATTATTTTTATATTCTTTGTGGTTGAAATTTCCTTTCTTTGGAACAATAAAACCAAATACATGTGCTAAATATTTTTATTCTTGTAAAAACAAAAATTACCAACCGGTGGAGTAGGTCAATGGGGTATTATATCCATAACCATAACCATATCCAGCTAATGAAGGAGAGTAAAGAGATGAGTGCAACAGTGGAGCAGAGTGGACAATTGAAGCGGCACGGACGATTGGTGCTGAAGCTACCACTGGAGCTGAGTGGAATGATACGACTGCTTTACCGATTATGTCTTTTCTGTAAACGTGGCTTTCAGAGGCTGGTTGGATGACGATCTTTTCTATGATTGGTTTAGGTTGGACAACAGTTCTTTCTACGATTGGTTCGACATATTTTTCCACAATTGGTTGCACAATTTTTTCTACAACTGGTGCGGCATATACTAAATGTCCGCCGTAAGCCAAATGGCTGGGTTTGGCGGCAGCTACAGCAACAATAGCGCAAATGAAAATGAATTTAAACATTATTGATAATATCTAATGCTTTACTGATATTTTTATTACATGGTTTCCTCTTTTATACTAAATATACCTCATTATTAGTTAGCATAAGTTAACAAAATGATTAATTTAAAATCAATTAATGATTATTACACTGATCAACAGCCATTTTGCTGCAACACTAACTTTTTTAGGGGAATTTGGGAGTTCTGTTTTCAAAAATTATCATTTTGCTCAATCAGTACTTGTATTTACATAATAAAACATGGCCAAGGTCAAAAAGCGCATCTTTAAGAGATATAATGGACCATAGAATATATATATATTTATATATATACAAGGTGTCCCTAAACTTAGTGGCATAAATTTAGGAGCAGATTAAGCAAGTCAAAATAAGACGAAAATCTAAATAAATATTTTTCCTAATTACGTATGTTTAAAAGATACAGGGTGATAAAATGTTACTTATCATATCAGTTTTTTTAATATAACTTCTACTATGGTAGACTTGGAAAGGTGATATTTTGCGAAAAGTCACTTATTACTAAAACACATATTCACACATAATTACAATTGTTTGAGTGAACACAGTGTCGTAGAAACAGGGGTTGCTTAATCTTATTGTCCCATACAAACTTTGAGGTTAGGTTTTTATACCATTTGATGCAATTTTTCGATTACTCAGTTCGGATACTATTAAAAAGGTGTACCTCTCAAACTTCGATAAAATTAACCGTTCTCGAGATATTCGAGATTACAATAATTGTTATATCGCATTAAAGGACTAAAATTTAATTGAAAAAACTACATTTTTTTTAATGTGACGGTCAGTGCAAAAAGTCCCGAGGCTCATGGAATGCCCTTTTTAGTTTTTTCAATTAAAAAATAAAATTTGTTATCATATACCTTTTAATCCTTTTAAATAATGCGATAAAACAATTATTGTAATCTCAAATATCTCGGAAACGGTTTATTTTATCGAAGTTTGAGAGGTACACCTTTTTAATGGTGGCCGAACTGTTTAATCGATAAATTGCATCAAATGTTACAAAAACCTAACCTCGAAGTTTGTATGGGACAATAGGCTTAAAGCAACCCCCGTTTCTACGACACTGTGTTCACTTAAACAATTGTAATTATGTGTGAATATGTGTTTTGGTAGTAAGTGACTGTTCGCAAAATATCACCTTTCCAAGTCCACCATAGTAGAAGTTATATTAAAAAAACTGATATGATAAGTAACACTTTATCACCCTGTAACTTTTAAACATACGTAATTAGGAAAAATATTTATTTAGATTTTCGTCTTAGTTTGACTTGCTTAATCTGCTCCTAAATTTATGCCACTAAGTTTAGGGACACCTTGTATACTACCAAGGTAATATCTAGAACCTTCATTGTCGATGTTGCTCACACAAATGACAATAAATAAATCAACAAACTTATAATTTAGAAGGGATGATCAAATAAAAATTAATATATTTTTTAATGTATTACCAAAATGATAATTATTAATAGAAATCGTTATATTTAACTGACAATACAATTCATTAATATTAGAACCAATAAAATGCCAGTATTCCATAGTGACGTATTTTATCACAGCGGCAATAATTTTTATCATCTTGTTTACACGTTACTATGCATTTTGACGTTTTTTTGATTTGACATTTGTTGTCATTTAAATTCGATGGGTTGGTGTAAACGATAATGAAATTAAGGTAAGTTTGAATAAATAAGGTTTATTAAAGTCTTTTTATATTTTAAAGCACATTTTAATTTCAAATGTCAAACTAAAAATTCGTTAAATCCTAAAATTCATTATATTTTCTCACTAAATATAACTCGTGGTATGATTAATTATCGATGATATTTACTCATTAAAACCGAAGCAGCACATTTCACTCGTCCTGCGGACTCGTGAAATCTGCAGCACGGTTTCAATTCGAAAATATCATCGATGATAATCATACCACTTGTTATATAATGGGTGACAATACAATTCATTATAATTAATTATAATGGTTACGCATTTTATCACAGCGACAATATTTTTTATCAACTTAATTACACGTTGTCAAGGATTTTGACACTTTTCTTGATTTGAAATTTGTTGACATTTAAATACTGTGTTTGTTAAATGATTAAAATAATGAATAATAAAATTTAAAAGATCGATGGGTTGGTGTAAACGATAATAAAATTAAGGTAAGTTTGAATAAATAAGGTTTATTTAAGTCTTTTTATATTGTAGCGAGTACCGCCCTGGATATCGGAGTGATGACTCATCGCCGATTAGTCATTGCCGGTGAGTCATCGCCGGTGACTCAGCGCTCGAATAATCGAGAGTGTGGAGCTCGCTGGAATGTTCCAGAAGACCTTGGCGCTGAATATATAAGAAACGGAGCAGCACACGGCAGTTAGTTATGATTTGGTACTCGCGGCGAAATAAATAAATATAAGTGCAAATAAATAAACTAGTAGTGATATAAATAATTAGTAGTTAAGTGTTTAGTTAGTTTTATAGTGTTTTAAGTGTAGTTAAGTTATTAAATAAATAGTTTAGTTCGTTAATTAACCAGTGCGTGTTTTTATTCACACTACGAACAGTTAAAAACGTTACATTGGTGTCAGAAGTGGGATTAGTGTGAAATTTCGCGAAAATGGTTTCGTTAATGGACTTAAAAGTGGCGGACCTTAAGCGGGAACTGGAAGAAAGGGAATTTGAAACAACTGGAAAAAAGAATGTGTTGCAGCAGCGGCTTCGAGAAGCGTTGGAGCAGGAAGGTGAAAATCCAGATACGTATTTATTTGAAGGCCCGTGTGATATGCAGTTAATGTTGCAAAATTTAAACGAAAAAATGTTGGAGAATTCTAACGATTTAAAACAGAAAATGGTAGAAAATTCTAGCGACTTACAACAGAAAATGTTAGAAAATGTCAACGATTTAAAGGACGATTTGCAACAGAAAATGCTGGAAAATTCTAGCAATTTACAACAGAAAATGCTGGAAAATTCTAGCGAACTGCAGCAGAAAATTCTAGAAAATTCTAAAAACCTAAAAGAATATTTGGAAGGGAAGATTCTAGATAATGTCAATGAATTAGAAGAGAAAGTAGGACAGAAAGTTGACGATGTAAGGATGGAATTAAATAACGTAAGGATGGAATTGAATGAAGTAAGGATGGAATTGGATGATAAATTGGAAGTCAAAATTAGAGAAATAAATAGTAAATTAAAAGCTGTAAATCTACCCATGATGCTGGCGGAACCAGGAACAGTGCAGGAGGGGAGCCGACTCCGGATGAAACCACCTCAGTTCGATGGAAAAACTTCTTGGACCAACTACATCCGTCAGTTTGAGGCAGCAGCAAAAGCAAATGGCTGGCTACCAGAAGAAAAAGCTACAGCGTTGACTCTGGCTTTACGCGGAGATGCAACGGACATCTTGCAGACGCTTTCTCCAAACGAACAAGAAGATTACGAAGCGTTAGTAAAACATCTGGAACTTCGATATGGCCAGACACATCTGGAACATGTGTACCATTCCCAATTGAAGAATCGCTGCCAGAAATCGAACGAGACTTTACAAGAATTTGAGGCTGATATTGCACGCTTGGTCCGGCTAGCATATCCAGCTACTCCAACGACCGTTATGGAACGATTAGCGGTTCAAGCCTTTTTGGATGGACTTCGGGACAATGAAACACGACAGGCTCTGACATTGGCTCGTCCGAGCCAATTGGTTGATGCATTAGCTCGAGCTTTGGAATTCGAGGCGGCAAAGCAGAGCTGTAGGAGCCAGCCTAGAATAAGGAGAGTCGAGGAAGAAAAAGAGGAGGAACCCAGAATAATTGAAGCAATCAGGCGAGTTTTTAAAGAAAACCTACCAGAGAAGAAGGAAATCCGGTGTTGGAGATGTGGAAAGCTCGGACATATACGAAGTCGTTGCAGAGAAAGCCAGGAGGCGCCGACTTCATCCAAGTCGGAAAACTAGATAGGGTCGAGGAAAAGGGGCAACCGTCGACCTGTAACCAGCATGCCCCAGAGGATATCGAACGTGTCGCATCTCTTCTACATCAGTCCAGCAGTGTTTTTGTGGATGGCTTTATTAATGGAAAGTTACATGTGCTGCTGCTGGATACAGGTGCGACGAAGACAATTATTCGGCCAGATATTGTCGAAAAGTCGAAGATAAAATCTACCAATCGGCGACTACGTACTGCAACAGGAGATACTGCTACTGTTCATGGAGAAGTGGACATCACGATGGTCATAGGAAACACGAAATTTAATCATCGAGCATTAGTAGCAGATATTGAAGATGAAGTTATTGTAGGCATGGACATTATGAACTCTATAGGATTTGAACTAAACTTTCAACAAGGAATATTGAGAGTAAATGGAGAAGAAGTCGTGTTGCATCGATCAAAAGAAAAGAATATTCGTGTAATGCTAACAGAAGATGCTTTGATACCGGAACACAGCGAGATGATATTGAAGGCTTTCTTGGATTGTAAATCAGAAGATGGAAGTATAATGCTTCTGGAGCCGAGAATTGATGACAAAGAGGTCGGTCGAGGAGTTGTAGTAGGGAAGACTTTAATACGTGTCGGAAAAGAAGTGCCTGTAAGAGTATTGAATGTTAATGGTTACTCTGTGAACTTGAAAAAAGGAATCGTTTTGGGGAACTGTTCCTCTGTTTCCTCAATTATTAGAAGCATTCGTGAGTCTGGAGTTCCGGCCAAGAAAATTAGCAATGAATTGACGACTCTGCTTTCGACTTCTTCAAAGGACTTAAAACCAAATGAGAGAATAAAGCTGAGAGAGCTGATACACAACTATCAGGACGTCTTTGATGATGGACAAGAAAAGAAGGGTAGGACAAGAATTGTCCAGCATAAAATTAACACCGGTGATGCACAGCCCATTCGACAGTCGGCAAGAAGGCTACCACTTGCCAAGCGAGAGGAAGCTGATAAAATTGTGCAAGAAATGGAGAAGGAAGGGGTGATCGAACCATCCAACAGCCCATGGTCTTCCCCAGTGGTGTTAGTTAAGAAAAAGGATGGATCAACTCGATTTTGCGTCGATTTTCGTCAGCTGAACAACGTGACGAAGAAGGACAGCTACCCTCTACCTAGGATCGATGACACCCTGGATACATTGGCTGGATCCCAAATATTTTCGACTCTGGATTTGAAAAGCGGTTACTGGCAGGTTGAAATGGCACCAGAAGATAGAGAAAAGACGGCGTTTACCGTGGGTGCTGGACTGTGGCAGTTTACTGTCATGCCGTTTGGACTATGTAATGCCCCTGCAACTTTTGAAAGGCTCATGGAAATGGTTTTAAAGGGACTATCCTGGAAGACATGCTTGGTGTACCTTGACGACATCATTGTGGTTGGGAAATCATTTGAGGACCATATGAAGAACCTGAAGGAAGTCTTTCAGCGCTTAAGAAGTTCCGGCCTGAAGCTAAGCCCGAAGAAATGTCACTTGTTCCAGAGGGAAGTGCAGTATTTGGGCCATGTTGTTTCGAGTCAAGGAGTGGCAGTGGACAAACAGAAGGTGAAGACGGTGCGGGAATGGCCAGTACCAAAAAACAAACATGACTTAAGAAGCTTTCTTGGATTATGCACCTACTACCGTCGGTACGTACCAGGATTCGCAAAGGTTGCTAAGCCTTTGACACGTTTAACAGAGGGAGAAAGACGATTCCAATGGGACGAAGAATGCCAAGAAGCCTTTAAGAACCTGAAAAACGCGTTGACCAGCTCACCAGTCTTAAGTTATCCTCTTCCGGATGGTGAATTTATTTTGGACACGGACGCAAGTAATGTGGGCCTGGGAGCTGTTTTGTCGCAGATTCAAGCGGGAAAGGAGAAAGTTATTGGATACTTCAGTAAAACTTTATCCAAACCAGAACGAAATTACTGTGTTACTCGACGCGAGCTGTTGGCAGTGGTAAAGGCAGTCGAACACTTTTACAAGTACCTGTATGGAAGAAAATTCTTGCTAAGAACGGATCATGCTGCCCTAAAATGGCTTTTGCAATTCAAGAATCCTGAAGGACAGGTAGCAAGATGGATTGAGAGACTACAGGAGTTCGACTTTGACACAGAACATCGGGCTGGGACCATCCATAGAAATGCTGACGCCTTGTCAAGAAGACCGTGCCCGGAAGACTGTAAACATTGTCTCAGGGCCGAAGAAAAGGATGTGTTTGTTCGCAGAACTACAATCGTGGATGATCATTGGCAATCCGCTGAGGTTCAACAAGACCAGGAAAGGGATCCGGATTTGAAGCTTATCATCGATTGGAAGAAGAACGACCGTAAACCAACGTGGCAGGAAGTCGCCCAATATTCGCCGAATGTGAAATCGTACTGGGCCCAATGGAATTCCATCATCTTAAGTGATGGGCTTCTAAAGCGCGTTCTGGAGATGCCAGAAGGGGGGGAAGACCGGAAGCAGATAATAATCCCCAGAAATAGGATACCAGAAGTGCTGCAGGAAATCCATGATGGAACTACTGGAGGACATCTTGGGGTGACCAGGACGCTCGGAAGACTTAGGGAACGGTTTTATTGGGTCAACAGCCAGCGAGATGTGAAGGAATGGTGCAAGAAGTGCGCCGTTTGCGCGGCAAGCAATGGACCCCAGAAGCGCCCAAAAGCCCCAATGCGACAGTACAATGTGGGCAGCCCATTTGAGAGAATTGCAATCGACGTGGCGGGTCCATTTCCGGAAACAGAATCTGGAAATAAATACATCATCGTTGTAATGGACTACTTCAGCAAGTGGGCGGAAGCGTACGCCTTGCCAAATCAGGAAGCTGCCACAGTGGCCGATGCCCTTATCAAGGAGTGGATTTGTCGTTTTGGTGTGCCAATGGAGATGCATTCAGACCAAGGCAGGAACTTTGAATCTATATTGTTCCAGAATGTCTGTAAGATTCTTAACATTCGGAAGACGAGGACGACCGCATTACATCCGCAGTCTGATGGAATGGTGGAACGAATGAATCGAACGATAAACCGGTACCTGTCCAAGGTAGTCTCGGATCACCAAAGAGACTGGGACCGCTTCCTCCATCTGTTCCTGTTGGCGTACCGTTCTTCTATCCACGATACAACCGGCCAGACACCCGCTAGCATTGTTATGGGACGTGAACTTCGTCTACCTTGTGACCTGAGGTTTGGTTGCCTACCAGGGGAAGATATTGCTGGAGAAGATTATGTCAGCAATTTACGTAGGAAAATGAGCGACATACACAGCCGAGTTCGTTTAAACATCCAGAGTGCCAGTGATAGAATGAAAGAGGCATACGACATCAAGGCGGAAAATGGAGGATTTCAACCTGGAGACCTAGTTTGGTTATACAACCCTCAGCGCCGTCGTGGTTATTCACCGAAGCTGCAGACTTCTTGGGAAGGACCATACGAAGTCATGGATCGCATAAATGACATCATCTACAGGATCAGAAAACAACCAAGAGGAAAGCCGAAAGTGATCCATTTTAACCGATTGGCTCCTTACGCTGGAAACAATGATGACCAAATGGACGATGCTAGAGTAAGGAGGGTTAATCCGCCGGAAGAGGAGTTGCCTTTTGAAGATTTCATGTATTTATATTCGAGTGGTAAAAAAGCTCGGTATGGTGTCACTCGAGAAGAACAAAAAGATCTGTTCACGGTTTCGGCCGATTACTCCTTGGCTCACTGTGTTGCGGAAGACCTTAGGATGTCCAGGGGAATAGCGGTTGTCTTTAAAAACAAGTTTCGACGAGTTGATGAGCTACGGAGGCAGAATCCCAAAGTTGGAGAGGTGCTTGAAATTGTGAATAATGAGCAGATAGGTAACCGAAGTATCTTCTATCTCGTAACGAAGCAACTCTCCAATCAGAAGCCAAATTACCGTGACGTATGGAATGCCTTAAATAAATTGAGGGATATCCTTTTGTCCAAGGACATCATGAACCTGGCGATACCGAAGATTGCTTGTGGACTTGACGGCTTAGACTGGAGAATAATTAGAAGTATGGTGGAAGTTATCTTCAGATTTAGTGGCATACACATTCTTGTCTGTTGCCACAACCCTAAAAGAACAACCGGAAGGAAGACCGTAGACTGCTACTTCTATAGGACGTCACAATGCAAGTTTGGATCTCTATGCAAATATCGCCATGGAGCTGAGGACCATTTTCGGGACGAAAATGTTTTAAGACGGGGGCAATGTAGCGAGTACCGCCCTGGATATCGGAGTGATGACTCATCGCCGATTAGTCATTGCCGGTGAGTCATCGCCGGTGACTCAGCGCTCAAATAATCGAGAGTGTGGAGCTCGCTGGAATGTTCCAGAAGACCTTGGCGCTGAATATATAAGAAACGGAGCAGCACACGGCAGTTAGTTATGATTTGGTACTCGCGGCGAAATAAATAAATATAAGTGCAAATAAATAAACTAGTAGTGATATAAATAATTAGTAGTTAAGTGTTTAGTTAGTTTTATAGTGTTTTAAGTGTAGTTAAGTTATTAAATAAATAGTTTAGTTCGTTAATTAACCAGTGCGTGTTTTTATTCACACTACGAACAGTTAAAAACGTTACAATATTTTAAAGCACATTTTAATTTCATATGTCAAACTGACAATTCGTTAAATCCTAAAATTCATTATATTTTCTCAAAAAATAAGTCCTGCGGACTCGTGAAATCTGCAGCTCGGTTTCAATTCGAAAATATCATCGATGATAATCATACCACTAAGTCTTGTTATATTATGGGTGAAAAAAAAAGGATATGTACCTACAATAGTAAATATAATTATGAATATGTAATATAATAGTATATTATGTATCAAGTTTGATAAACGCCATTTTATACACGAATTTAATTTAGGCACGAGCGAGCTTGCGGCCACCAACAATACTTGACAAACTTTTGAAACATTTTCTCACCACACACTTTTTTTCTTTTTTAATGGGTTTATTTTTAGCACATTTAATAAAATTATACCCAATTATTTCCAATTAGAAAAATCAGGCAAATTTAACGTGTTTCTATAAATTTCTTGTATAGCTGCTTTATATATTAAAATTTCACAACCTTTGCATACAACTTTTGGTAATCGTTCATCTTCTACATGCTATGCTTTGAACTTTTCCCAGAATCTTTCCACATATTTTAGACATTTTTTCTTTTTTTTAAGACAAAACAAACAAATTATCTCGCGATTATCCGAGTATAATCAATGCAAATATAATTATTTATATCTAATTTATAAATAAATCTGCGACAAATTGAAAAAAAAACGGTAAAATAACGGTTATTTCAATCACGATTTCGACATGTGACAAGTGACATATGTCAATAGTTCACTAGTTTAATGAATTGCACATTTTATGTAACAAATACATTAAAAGCTGTTAGTCATTATTTGGAGTTTACTAATTAAAAATCTCAAAAAATTAATTAAAAATCATTAATGTTTTTATAAAAATTGATTTTTCTAAAAAAAGTGCCAAGCGAATTGAGTTTATCCTGAAAACAAATTGAGTAAGTGATTTTTTATCAAAATATGAAAAAAAATCGGATACGTCTGAACCTTTCAATTAAAAGTTATTCAGGGACACCGTGTTGGATACAAATAAATAAATATAGTGCACAAAGTATCCTTCTATCCTTTATTAAATAAAATTTTAATTTTGAAGAGCTACAAGGTCGATTACCCAAATAGGAGAAAAGGCGTTATTACATTATAATAAAAATCAATAGGTTCACATATTAAACATACTACTAGACAATTAAATATCAATTAAGTAAGTTTAATATAAAAACATTTAAATTCTATATAACTGTACAGTTGTTTAATTTCTACAAAAACATAAAGATGCATAAGCTTTTTATATTGAGTGCTCTTTTAGCCGTAGCTGTAGCCACTCCCGTTGGTTATGGAGCAAGTTTTGCCTACGCCACCGTTCATTCTGCTCCAATTGCAGTAGCCCATGACATTCATGTTCCAGCTGCAGTCAGCAGCTCATTCCGTAAAGACGTTATCCACAAACCAGTAGTAACATCCTACACCGTTCCAAAAGTTGTTGGCTCCCGTCCATTCGTTGAGAAATTTGTAGGGCACGCTCCAGTCTACGAAAGAACCTTTGTACAACCAGGTCCAATCGTTGAAAAGACCTTAGTCGAACCAGCTACCTTCACTGCTCCTCTTTTATCTCATGCAGCTCCATTGTATTATGCTCAAACCTGGTAAAATATATATTGATAGTAGTAAATAAATTATTATTAAAATTATTCAACTTTTTTTATTTTATAAAGGCTCTCTGTTTTATAGTAAAGAAAGCGCACTTTTCCGAGGAGCGGGCGTTTTTTTACTTTGTCGCTCGCTTAGTTACCATTGAAACCATAATAAAGAAACGTTTGGTGTATTTGCGAGTTTTGCCACAAAAGTCAAATTTGAGGTTATCAATAATTATTTATTTTTACCAAACATTCTTATAGAAACACCGGTTGTAGAGAAAATCTTGTGTGTAATTCGAGCGCAAAGTGACATATCCGCTCAGAGCGACAATGTATCACTTTGCGCTCTTAATACACAAATAGCTATTTTTGTTCAGTGTGACATAATGCACGATACTGACCCCTATGTCATACTTCGTTAAAAAGGGTATGATTTTTTCTGTGCTGCTAACAGGTGCTGGAGTCAAGAGGCAGCATAAGTTGGTACCCTTGGGCTGACGATGTCTTTACGATACTCCTGACAGCTAAAGAAACAGCATAGCAAAAATTTTACAGGCAAAGGACCTATAGCTATTTACAGCGGTATATCCTAAATGTCCTTCAAGATATCCTGGTTTGGCTACAGCAACGGTTACGAGAGCGAACAAACCAACAATTTGAACATTTTTAAATAGGTCTATGTTGCGAGTTAGAACTAAACATATTATATTTAAAGAGTTTAGGAAATATTTATCCTGTGTTGTTATTTACCCTTCATGCTTAAAATTCAGATCACACACGTTTAAAATTATTAAATTGTTTTGCTTCACCTTGCAGTTTTGCAACATGGTACAGAAGTAAGTTTGTAACTAACAACATAATTTAATTTAATATTTTTTTGTGTAATTTTTAAACAGATTTACGAAAATGGCTGTTAAAAGCAATTAGATGCAATTTAAAATGAGTTAATTAATGTCGATTAGTTTGGATGTTTAGCAGGGCAGTTTATGAAAATATTGTATATTTGTAAAATTCATATTTTTTAGCTTTGATTTATATCGTATTTAATTAAGTTGACATTAATAATGTGGAAATAATTTTTACGGTGTATGACTTTAAAATGTGGTTTAATCGATTTAAGATGATAATTAATAAATCCTACATGTTGACATTGCAAAAATTTATGCTCTATTTAAAGCGACAAAAATTGGCAAAAAAATATTTTTGGGTGTAATATTAATTACTTAATCATTCTTATTAACACACATACAAACGTATGTTAATAAAATCATAAGCGTGAAAACAATGTAATAGGTATTCCTAATTAAATAATAAAATTATTAAAATAATTAAGGATACCTACTTATTATTATAATTAACAATATTATCGCGAAAATATTTTGTTGTAATTTTTTCCCCAAGGTAAATGTAAATACAAAACCCGAAATTGAGAATTGTATTGCATTTAAGAAAGCAGACATTAAAATGTCACCGGATCCAAAGATCCAACGACCAGAGAATTTTTTTTAAAGCACTTGAATTGGAGGCTGAAACAAATTCTGAAAAATGTCTACTTACCATTAAGAAGCTATGGTAACTTCGCGATTATTTGTTTCAATAAAAATAGAGCATAGGTACGTATTCAAGGCAATGTATTATAATAATTATTATAAAAATATAAAACTATAAACGTTTTCTGTCTTTGACTATTTCAATATTTAATTTAATTCAAACTTTTTTTACTTTTTAGTTAGGATTTAACCTCACGAAGGTCTTTAAATTTAAACGCGATCGGATATCATTAAGAGGTTTATTTGTTGTAAAGAAATACTTTAAACAAGAATAAACTTCATCGTAACGCTAAACTAGCCTTTATAAATCTTGTACCATATATGGTAATATGGTAATGCTATAGCATTACCTATTACATTAAATACTCGGATTAGAAATTGTTCTCTTTATAAAGAGATATATCTTCTAAAATCACCTTATTTTTACTTGGTTCACTTGTTTCTTTGCTAAATTATTTACTGGGTCCAATAGAAGAAGCAAAGAACACGTCAAGTTAAATTTTTTTATAATTTTTTTGGACATAATTTCAACCGAACGAGGAATTTAGATTTGCTGGGGAATATACCTTTAGCAAGCCATGTATGGTATTGGCACGATGGTGCTCCCTATCAGGATGCCCATATTGTCAGGAATTGACTGAATATCAAGTTTACGCAAATATTGATTAAAACTTATGGTCCAGTTGCGTGGCATGCCAGATCGCCGGATCTCAACCCCATGTTCTGTGTGGCTACATAAATCTGCGAGTATACGTCACCGTAGTCGAAATTATCGAACAACTAAGTATACATATTGAAGATGCTACTGCAACTATTCGAAATAATAGACCGAGTAAAAGATTCATTTCGTAAACGTTACAAAAAATAATGGTGGGCATTTTAAACACCTATTGAAATAAATTATAAATTTGAAAGTTTTCTACGTGCTGCGATTTTTTCGATTTTCTTTTTATTTATGACTTGGTATTGTCCATAATACACAAATTAAATAGTGCCAAGAACTTTACCTAAATAATTTTTAATTCATTAAGATAATACGCAAAACATTGCAACAATGTGTTTGTTTTTTTTCTTATAACAAGTAAAAATAACAAAGTAACGTTTTTTGATAACGTTTCGTTTTAATAACAACTGCAGTTTTGGAAAGCCTAAAAATTAACGATAATTTTTATAAAAGGGCGTAATGCACGGGTTCGAAGAACTCGTGAAAGTAGAATAAAAGTTATCTGATTTTAAAGCACAGCGGTATTCAGGGAAAATATTTTTCAGATGAAAATACCTACTAAAAATATTTAAAAAATGCAAATTTATTGAAACAGGATTAACAATAATATAACTAACGTATAAGTATATTGCAATATAACTAATTTTACCTTTCACCCTGTTTATGTTTCTTGAATAAAAAAATGTATTATTTTAATTACACATGACACGGTGTGACTGAACGAAGTTTAGGTCACAAAAAATGACGCCAAAAACTGATTGCAGTTTCTTCTTCGGGACCCTTTGGTGACTTAAAAATGATATTTACCAAAATCCTAGCTGATCCTTTTTTTCGAAATTTTTTGAAAATTCATGATTTGTTTTTTAATTTTTGTTTATCTTAATGTCTACCTTTGACAGAGTACACATTTGTACACCGATTTTTATAATATTGGAGTATATTATTGAGTAGACTTAAAGAATACTTTTTAATACTGTTCACATAATTTTATATATACAGGGTGAGACAAAAATCGCTTATTTTTAATAAAGCAAAAGCGTCAATTCATGATTTTGGCATAACACGCAAAACAGATGTATCCCCATTTTTTTTTAGATATTTCTACGTTTATTAGGTTACAAAATGGAATTCTTATTAAACTTTTATTAAAAAAATAGATTTTTAATAAAATTAAATAAAATAACGCTTAGAGAATATCGTGATGAATAAGTTTAATATATATTTATCTCCACGCGGTCTATAATTTAAACTTTATTGTTGTCAACATTCGATAAAGAAATAACTTGTTATGGCCTAGGCCAATAAAAATTTTTATGAGGCAAGTAATTAGTTCGATTTTTTCTCGCTAGGGGTATTGTTTTGACAAAAAAATCCTTTTCTAAGAAATTAACGTACTAAACTGGTTTAATTTATTTATAATAAGCACTAATTTGTTTGTTTTACTGTTAATGTTTATTATTTTTCATTAAATAATTGTAAAATTAAATATAAATAATAAAACAAAAAGTGAGGTTAGGACATTGCAATTTGACGTTTCTGTGGATTTCACAGTTGTGTTTTCTTTTTCTACGATTTAAACTATCTTTAAGTTTTAATTTGCTTTAAGTTTTCAGTGAAATTAAATGTTAAACACAGCGTAAACATTCCAAACTACCTATTTTTTTAATAAAAATGCAAACAAATTGAAATTATATACCTATTTATTAAACAATTAATTGAATTCAATGTTATAGCAAGAGGGTAAGTAAACCATTTTCTTACAAAAATCCATTTCTACTTAAATCATGTAGCTAGGTATTGTCAAACTATTACTGCTTCTAAAAGGAATAATAATTATTGTACATTTAATGTAATCTTTAGCTAATAAATAAATGAGATTCTAAAAAAGTGACGTTAGGCCGCTTTCATGTTGAATTAAATTGACCTATATAAAGTGCTTTGAAGATAAAATGTTGTATGCCATTCGGCCAAGAAGTGTCTTTTTGTGCTTCGCTCAATTGTAGGCCTCCGCTACGCGTCGGCCTTCAAACTTTGAGCTTAGCACAAAAAGCCTTACTTCTTAACCTAATGACATAAATAACTATTATCCACTCCTATTGTATAATATTAGTTTTTTTCTCGTAAATAATGATAATCATTATAAATTCCCTGCATAACAACAGGACTAAGGAACTCATTATTTACCTTGTTAGATATCAGTGATTGGCCGATTTCAATATTCATTGTGATATGAACCAATCGGGTTTGAAATTGGGATCAGGCTGGGACAGATGTCAGATTTTATTTGTATATTTTTGAAAATAATTTAATTACCTACTTATTTGAGTAGAGAAAGTATAGTAATACAATCAAGATTATGTCTATTATGAGTATATAATATTCTTAGAATATTTTACTTCCCGCAGTTTCATTTCCATCATTCTTCATATTTATGAATTTTTACATAAGTTAAGTTAAGTATTTATTTGTTTGCATACATTATTTGATAGAACGGTATTTTAAATAAAAGTCAATATAAATTATAACATATTTTAATAAATAGCAGTTTAAATTTACACAGTTCTCTTTTCACCAAGCGTAAACTGACGGAACATGGGTACCATAAGAAAATGGAGCAGAGTTAGCATAAGTTGGAGCAGATACAATAGTCTTGTGGACTACTGGGGCAGAAACGTAAGCTGGAGCAGCATAAGTGGAGATGATTGGCTTGCTGACGATATCCTTTCTGTAAGTGCTGCTAACAGCGGCTGGAGCCAAGATGGTCTTTTCGATGATTGGAGCGGCAACTACTGGAGCAGCATACGTTTGTACCCATGGTTGGCTGACAATGTCTTTGCGATATGTACTGCTGATAGCTGAAGGTATAGCATAGTTGTGAGTTTGCACAGCTAAAGGAGCTAAGGAATATCCCAAATGTCCTCCAAGATATCCTGGTTTGGCTACAGCAAAGGCTACGAGAGCAGACAACACCACCAATTTGAACATATTTAAATAGGTCTGTGTTGCGAGTCTTTGGACTAACTGTACTAAACTGATAATTTTTAAGTTTTTACACGGGCTATTTATAATGCAATTTTTAAAGAGTTAAGGAAATACATACCCATTATTTCTCCTTCAAGCGTAAAATTCAGATCACACTCGATTAAAATAATTAAATTGTTCTGGTTAACCTTGTAGTTTTGTAATATGACACAGACAAATTAAAAAAAAACATAGAACTTTATTTATTAGTTATTTTTTCAAGTTAATTTTAAAAAAGGGTTAATAAACTATTCTGTCGAAAAACACAGGACCTATAATACCTGGTATTAAATGTTGCATTTAATAGCTAGATGAGAATAGCTTCTGGCAATTGAAATGAATAATTTGCCAAAAACTACAAAAGGTAATTTCTTTTAGCTATTTTTATACTGTTTAGGAATTATTACTAAATTAGGGACTGTTTTAGTGATTTTGTGTTTAACCCTAGATAGCCAACGTTCAAAATTTATACTTTGATGCCAACAATACGTAAATTTTACCGTATATATTACAAATATGTGCAAAAATTGTTTCAAACCATACGACTTACTTTATTGCCAAGATTACGTAAAATATACGTATAATATACGTGAAATATACGTATAACAACCATACGAATTTGCCAACTATACGTAAAATTTACGCGTGGACTATCACTCTATATTCAGTCACTGACAACCCACACCTGCCACATCAAAAACACGTCGGCTGCCAAAAGTAGTGATGGAAGGGAAAGCACTGCTTGAGCGGCGAAACGAGGATGCCAATATTAGGTAAATTATGAGTATGAGTATGAGTATAGGAACGTATGGCAAGCCCCAGATATATTATCATCCACTGATCTCCCGGGGTTATATTACCCCCTTTCCGTTCTCCTGCGTATCCCGCCAAATCACAGCATTACCTGTGTTTGTTGGATCCGAAGTTTTTACGCCGGCTGGTAGATCCACCCTAGGAGTTCGTGGATGACAGTGTCAAAGGTTAAGGCAGCTCCCGGGATTTTTGTCAGCCGGGTCGGGCCATACGTCCAGTTTAGGAAGGGTTTTTGGAGGACATTGAACTGACCCAAAACTAAGTACAATCCGGAATCCTCCTCAACCTAGGCCTTAGTAGTATCCCCATTCAATTGGTATTCGTGAATGGGGGTGGGTATGTTAGTTTTTTGCTTACTCCGGTTACCAACCTTGTATATTCTTTATTTATTTTCTTGCTATATTAGTGTTCATACCGTTTTCATTTATTTATATATTTGCCTTCTTACTTATTTTTTTTCAAATTTATTTTAAAAAAATATTAATATACAAAATAGGTAAAGCCGGCCCTGTGGTGTATCGCATCAATATTTGAAACCCGGCCCCTATGTCAGGCGTGCAACGCATGCCTCAATAGATGGCCTACCACTTCATTTTCACGTGGGGGCTTTGCCCATTTACTTTCTTCATCCTCCAAGCTTTGCTTGCGTGAGCTTATGTGTATATTATATAATATATATAATACAATAATATAATATTGCGACGTACCCACTTGATTTCCCTTCTCACACGCACGCTGCCCTCTGCAATGGTCAATTGTTGCCTGGTTTCCTGTTAAATTAGTATCTATATAAATTCAATATAAATATCAATTAGTCAATACCAATACTAATACCAAATAATACAAATAATCAATACCAATATCAACTAATCAATCAATTAATCAATATTAACGTTAACATCAGTATCAACCAACTAATCAATCAATATTAATACTAATATCAATATCTATAATGCCAATATCAACATCAACACCAATACCAACAATACACCATCAATACCAATACCAATACGATTATATCCTTATCAATCAATCAATTAATTTATTAATTAATTAATTAATCACTTTATGTAAATATCGATCTTCAAAATAGAGCCGGCCCTGTAGTGCATATAGTGGAATGCGGCCTCTTGAGTTCAGTGTATTAGCCTGGCTTGATTTATGAGTGTGACCCTAAATTTATTTATGATAAATTTTTGTCTTCTTGCTTGAATTGGTTTATTTGCTTACGCCTTTTACGCTGGTTGTTTACGTTTGTCTACTATGAGAAAATTAGGTTGTTTATTTTACAGTTACGGAAATGTTCTTATTATTTTTTAAATTTAATTTTTAAGACGAATAGATTTCTTAGATTTTTTTTGCAACATTGTGAAATGCTTATATAAACATTTAACGATTATACGGTAAGACATGCAATTAGAAGAATTACTTAGCTTGATTATTAGGCTATAAACCTGATGCTTTGTCTTTCGCGGGGTGGCTTTCTCCTGTAGGTTTTTGCATAGAAAAAGGACATTTTTGGAACGCTCCGATCCAGGTGCGCCGGTTGACTTATCGTTGCTGCCCAGCCTCAATTAGGCACTTATTCACTTGCACACTTTTACGGCGTTATCTCACAATTTTCGCACTTCTTGCTTTGTTTATTTATGTATTTATTTATTATTCATTAACGATCACCGACATTTCCGGATACTTTGTTTCGTTTTTGGTATTTTACGTTTGTATCGTATACGCCACTTAGGAGGGAACTTGACGCATCCGACCTCTTCGAGCATCAAGACGGTACTGCCAATATTAGGTAAATTATTTCAGATTAAAAAAAAACTTTACGTAAATTTTACGTAGGTTGGCTATCTAGGGTTAATAATAATCCCAAAACTTTTAAGTATTGATTAAACATAATAGTTTGGGAATCATTACTAAATACAAAAGCGGTCATACAATAGCCAATCTGTTTTCTCCGTTATTCAAATTTAGTTATGTTGGACAGGATAGTATCTAAAAACCATTTATATCAGTGATAATATTATTTTTTAGTCTTAATTTATGCCATGATTTTTAGTTTATTAATCCTACATGTTGAAATTGTAAACATGTATTTAAACCTAACAAATTTAACTTAACAAAATTATAAGCCTGTACCAAGTTTTATAAACGCCATTTTAATTAGTGTCTAGAGAAGTTTATAACCAAGTAGGTACTTTATTCACGATGAACTCAAAAAAAAAAATAATTTTTATATTTTAAACATTTAACATCTGACAACCGTCACCCGGATTTAACCATACTTTTTTCCAATTTATAAAAAAGCTAACTTCAGCCCGTGACTAAAAAGCCCATAAGCCACTGTGACTAAAACGCCTTAAAGTCAAAGTTCGTCAATGTAGGAGTAGTAATGTTCATAAGATATAAGATGTACAACTTATTATATTATAATATTAACGTTCCGTTCACGAAGTCATCGTCCCTATTATCACAGCGCGTATCTCATCTTTAACAATTTTACACAGCATTTTAAAGATTGAAAGTTTGTAGCATATTTAAATTATTTTTTTGAAAAAATGCTAATAGGTATTACATTAAATCTACTACCTTGTAGCGCATTATTTTTTCCAACAATAATTTAAATTAGCTACAAACATTCAATCTTTAAAATTATCTGTAAAATGTTTAAATGTGAGATACTCCCTTATGTGATAATGGGGACGACATGTGTTTTTTACACTGTAAAATAAAGTATAAAAGGATAATGTATTTATAAGTATTTAAAGTTATTTAAGTATTTAAAAAGGTTGCAATAAGTTTAGTACATTTAAACAAAAATAACATTATACCTTTATACAAATTAAAACTCGTCTTAAAAAATTAAAAAAAAAATTAATATTAGGAATCAAGTACAGTATCTTTTTTATGAGAATGGTTATTAAACAAATGAAAATGTCCGTTATTGATTAATTGATTTTAAATGGATCATTTTGTTAATTTAATTTAATAATGAGATATATTTAGTATAAAAAGACTAAACCATATAAATAAAGTATCAGTTAAACATAATATATTAACCAACATGTTTAAATTCATTGTAATTTGCGCCGTTGTTGCTGTAGCTGCTGCCAAACCAAGTCATCTGGCTTACGGCGAACATTTGACATATGCCGCACCAATCGTTGAAAAATATGTTGAACCAATTGTAGAAAGAATAGTTGTCCAACCAAAACCAATTGTAGAAAAGACCGTCATCCAACCAGCCTCTGAAAGCCACGTCTACAGAAAAGACATCATTGGTAAACCAGTAGTATCAATCCACTCAACTCCAGTTGTAGCACCATCTCCAATCGTCAGTGCCGCTCCAATTGTACACTCTGCACCAATAATACGCTCTGCACCAATTGTACACTCTGCTCCACTTTTGCACTCTGCCCCATTCTTACAATCTTCCTCCCTTTACTCTGCCCCATTCGCTGGATATGGTTATGGATATGGATACAATACTCCATTGACCTATTCTTCCGGTCGGTATTTTTTTTAATTTAATATATTAATATTAATAAAGACCATTTTTACATATCTATTTTGTTTTATTGTTTTAATAATCATAAAAAAAGCGGTATAACAGTGGCGGATCTGGAAATCTTGGGTAGGTGAGGCCAAAAAGTTTCGTATATATAATATAAACAATATACAGGGTGTTATGTAATTAATGTTATATATTAAAATGGGTTGTTCCTTAGGGTCCATAAAGAAGCACCTGAAACTTTTTTTTTCTAAATTCCAAAGTCTAAAAATAATTTATAATAACCTTTATCCTACCAAAAAGTACGCCACTGATCGACTAGGAACTTTAGGTTAATCTGGTGGATTTATTATGTTATGGTTGGTAACAACAGTGTTTGCAAAATCTCTCAAAAAAGTTGACAAACATTGTTTAAATTTAGCTTAATTACAAAAATGACAAAATTAACAATGCAAATTGTCAATTTGGCGTTTTTATTAATTGTTGGTTATTTCATTTTTGTACTGAATCTGACAACTTTTAGGACTGAATCTAGTGCATTTCTTTTAAATTTTAGGTTATGTTTTCAAATTGTAAATATCTTAACTAAGGGAAGTGCTTTTGGATTTATTTACACAAATTAAATGTTTAAAGTTTAACCTGTGAACTGGTCCCAATTTTATCTGAGTAAACAGAGAAAAAAACTGATGAAAAAATTAATTTTGTGGTTATGGATTTCAAATTTCAAAGGTACTAAATTTTCTAATCATTGCTTAAGCTAATAGCTGGATCAGTAAATAAATACAGAAGGGTATTAGAGCTTTAATGGCATAGAGGCAAGGCAAGAAAAATTTTTAGTAACAATTTTTTACATCTGGCAACGCATAGCTACTTTGTTGGTTGGTATCTATGTACTCACAAAATACAGGTGTGCAGAGATAAACAAGTGTGTAACCAGTGGCGTATCACAAAAAATATAAAAAACTTCTAATGCATATTTTTTCTTTATCTTTGGAAAAATGTTTTTTTAAATATTTTTCCTTTATTCCTTATGTCAAAAGGTATTCAGTATTTTAATATATAACATTAATTACATAACACCCTGTATTGTATGATTTATATACTCACACATATTTTGAAACTAAAATATCCCTCCTTTCCAAGTAGTTTTTCATGAAAAGTTTTATTCAAACAAAATCACTCGCGTGTCATTTGTCGTTGATATCAACCACAAAACAAATAAAATAGCTGACAACGAAGTTGTTTGAGTGTTAAATTGGGTAAAGTCGTTCAACTAAGCGATATATGACAGTGCCTTGCTAAAATGGGTTTTCACGAGTCAAAGACAGCGTTTCTCATTGTGCAATACAACTGCAATCGGTATTTAGAGTCTCTTAATACCGATCGCAGTTGTATTGAAATTAAAGGCGAGAAATTTCATAGTGAACCATTGCATAAAAAGTTTTGAATTACAGAAATTTTGATGCGTTAGGACCGTAAACACTTTTGTTGGAAAAGTTTTTTTAAATATTTTTTTATATATAGTAATAAAGGTACGAACCATTAGATTTTGATGCTCTTCTTTTTGGATTATGTAACAAATCTTATAGAATTTTATTAGGACTTTAGTTATTTTTTAAATGTTTGGTCTTTTATATACGAAGTGTTATACTGATACTTGATTTTTTCAAAATGTTTGAAACACACTGTGATAAAAGTATCAGTAATAGCAAATCCTAAAAAGAATTAAACTATAGCCTTATGTATCCTTACCATTTTATTTTTTATTCACTTTTTGATGTCAGAATCGCATCTTAAGTTTTGAAGGTTCTGTGCGTGAGGTAACTCTTTCGGAAGTCGGCGTTTTATCGCTCAATGTCTTGGTGACCATCAATCAACTATATCTCGAATTCTGCGGCGGTATCATGAGACTCAAGTGCACGTAATAATACCAGGTCAAGAAAAAGACGAGTCCCAAACGATGTCTAAGCTCGATTTTTGTAGCTACAAACGTTAAGAAAAGGTTTATTAGAGCACCAAGACAACATCCTGCAAGAGACACATAATATTGGTTTAAGGAGTGTTACGATACGAAAGTGGCTACGTGAATTTAATTTAATACCCAGAAGACCTGAAACAGGCCTTCAGTTACACGCAGAGCATCGCAGAGCCAGACTTAAGAATACGTTAACTGGTAGAGGCTGATTGAGCCAACGTTATGTTTAGTGACGAATGCAGATTTTGTCTTCATAACAGTGATAAACGAATTAGTGTGTACCTATAGAAGGTCAGGTGAACGTTAAGTTCAATGTAACATTGTTTAAACAGTCATCACAGTAGATTCTCGCACGGGGTGGTAATTCCAAAAGGAAGTATCAGCATACTCTCAGTATTTTTATTTTTTCATCCTCAATTTCTGACAGTACGGTACTGAATATTTTTTTTTTCATTAAATAACAATGTTAACATGAATGTGATACATTTTTTATTACTTAACTCTGTTTACATGTGATACATTTTTCTAATATGGGAGTAGACAATATTTATTTACCTAGTGCGGAAAGTGCTAGTTTTCCGCACACGATTCGCGTTGTAGTCGAGTGGGAATATTTTTTTTCTGCTCCTATTACGGAATTTGACCGTTCTAATATCACTTTTATCTATGGAATGACATATATTCCGTAAAGTGTTACAGAATGAAATATTCTATCATCGGATGACAGAATAATCACTCGTGGCGACATCTCTGTTTTTAATATCTAACAAATTTTAGACCAATCCAACCTCACTTTCTTCCAATTAAATTATTTTTCTATGGTATTTTTTGGAAACGTAGAAAAAGTATGGAATTGCATATTCCGCTCTCGTGAAACCGTCAAACTCGCTTTCGGCTCGTGTGACAAACTCTTCACTCGAGCGGAATATGCTGTATTCCAAACTTGTTACACAATATACTATTCTACAAGCTAGGGAATCTCAATCTCAATTTTTCAATGTATAGAGAAAAAAATGTCTAAATGTGTGCAAAAAGTACCGACTTTCAGCACTGTCAAGCGTACAAAAAGTAAGCGTGTGGAAAAGTGCAACTTTCCGCACAGTTCCTTATTTAAATAAAAATATTGATTTTGGTCGTATTTCGTGGACATTATTTTAACACAATAACTTTTGATGGTGTTAATTAAAAGGAAATTTAAGTTCAAGTTATATCTGTCATACCCTAATGATATTCAACAAAAACTTTTTGCTTTTCTGGTGACTTTTTAAACGTGCCCAGTTTTAAAACAACAGAATATAAATTTTCTAATAAACTTAAAAAATATATACAAGTTTATTTAAATGGCATTTAAAAATTAAAAAACAATTAGCGGTTCTTAAATAATTTGAAAAAAAACTGAAAACCTGTCAAAACCAGAAATCCTTATAACTTAGTTATTCCTGGAAATTAAAAAAAAAAGTAAGTTAATATGTAAACATAAACATTTATCTACATTTTTATCCAATTTGTGATTTTTTCGCCTACTGGATTTTGAGATACCTCCACCATTTTTTTTCCTATAGCCGCCATATTGGAATTTAACATGTTAAGGTAGAAAAAAAATCAAGGAATTCAACATACATAAGTGATGGTAACCCAAAACATAGTAGCGAAGAAAACGATTAAAAATGTAAATTAATTTGCATGTTTACATGTAAAACTTAATTTGTTTCAAAGTTCACAGGAATAACGAGGTTATAAGGATTTTTGGATTTAAAGGGTTTTATTTTTGAATATTTTGAGAACCGCTTGTCTTTTTTTTTTCTAATTTAACCGACATCGTAGCTCTTTAAATAAAAAAAATACCCATAGAAGTATACACATAGAAGTATAATTGGTGCACCTGTATACAAAATGCTTTAGCGTTTTAACCCTTAACTAGTCGCGCAGGTGCACTGAGTGCTCCGTTTTTATTAAAACCTCTATAACTTTTTGTCGTTTTCTTGGAATTAAATGCCCTTTCCATGTAACCTATGACTGATGTGTCTACCATGCACTGTCGACGGCATATTCAGTTTAAACTACTAATTTCAAAGTTATGGACAGAAAACTTGAGATTGATTTAGAAATACTTCACTAAAACGTAACTAAATTTCAATTTTTGCAATGTAAAATATTTCTAAATCAACAAAATATGGAATTTAAAACCTAATGGTTTTTAAGGTATACATTTTTCTAAGAATACACAAATAAAAATAGAACGGCTAAATTTCATTCTGATTTCTTCTTTTCTGAGTAGAAGTAATAACTTTTTTGTTTGTTTTATTTTTTGTTATTCGCTTTATGCTTATTTTTAAAATAAATATTGTGTTTTAATAAAAATAGAGTTAATTCATCCGAATATAAGCAAAAGTAATATTAAAATTGAAAACATTCAGCAATATAGCAATTTTAAGGAGCGGAGCACTTGGTGCACCGCGCGACCACTTATGTTACAAAAATTGGCGCGAGTAGTTAAGGGTTAAGGGTAAAAGTAACAGGAGATAATTATTTATAAGTAAATATAATTTATTAAAATAAATAAGTAATATACAAAAAATCAAAAACCTTTAGTCCCTTATTACCAACCATGGGCAGCATAAGAAAGTGGAGCAGAGTAAGCGTATGCTGGAGCAGATACGATAGTCTTGTGTACTACTGGGGCTGCAACGTAAGCTGGAGCAGCATAAGTGGAGATGATTGGTTTGCTGACGATATCCTTTCTGTAAGTGCTGCTAACAGCGGCTGGAGCCAAGATGGTCTTTTGGATGATTGGAGCGGAAACTACTGGAGCAGCATAAGTTTGTACCCATGGTTGGCTGACGATGTCTTTACGGTATGTACTGCTGACAGCTGCTGGTACAGCATAACTGTGAGTGTGCACCGCCAAAGGAGCAACAGCGGAATATCCCAAATGACTTCCAAGATATCCTGGTTTGGCTACAGCTACAGCTGCGAGAGCAGACAACACCACCAATTTGAACATTTTTAAATAGGTCTGTGTTGTGAGTTAATGGACAAACGAAAATGAACTGATGATAATAATAATTTAATTCAGCTATTTATACATATGAAATGTTTCTCAATAAGTACATATACATACACCTTAGTAATCCTTTAACCGTGAATTTTTTTTTCGAGCACATTCTAATTTCTCGTAATAATTTCATTGTCATTATTTAAATTTTTTAATTTTAATTTTATCCAATATCGTTGTCTTAAAAATAAATTATTGAAGAGCATACCGAAATGTACGAAGGCGTAGAAGGGCCAACAACAATATTTTTTTTTTAATAAAATTTTTAATCTACAATTGTCGATCGGTTCGACAATTGTATATATACAGGGTGTTTCACATTCGTGGCCCATTAGAAGTTTCTGGGAAACGAAAAAAGATATCGATTTGAAATTTTAAAAGCGTTTATAATCCATTTAAGTCTATTTTTCTATAATAACACTGGGCCACACAAAAAATGAACTGGAATCAAATCTGAAAAAATCGAATCTAGGCAACCCCCAAAACAAATCTTTTAAGGGGTTTTACCAGTTTAGCTCGAATAATGGAGATATACATATATATATGTACAGGGTGTTTCTTTTAACTTGAGACAGCTCAATATCTTGAGAAATACGCATTTCACGGAAAAATGTCTTAAATAAAAGGTTAATGTGACTAAAGGGGACATTATTTGGTGCTACCGCTAGCCACCCCCTACCCCTCCTTAAGGGTGAAACGGGGAGTAACTTTGGAAAGTCAAATGGAATGACCCGATTTTTTTCACAGAGTTTGGTAGTACATAAAAAAATAAATAACTTTTATTTAAAACTTTTTTCAATTTATCAACAGATGGCGCTGTAATTCAAAATTTAAGAAAAATGAGTTTCCTTGTAAAATGTATTATTTGAAACGTTTGAAAAACAAAAATTAACATTAACAACAATAGTCGGCTATGAAAACAATTTATAACAAATGTTGATTTAATTTTAATTTTTGTTTTTCAAACGTTTCAAATAATACATTTTACAAGGAAACCCCTTTTTCTTAAATTTTGAATTACAGCGCCATCTGTTGATAAATTGAAAAAAACTTTTAAATAAAAGTTATTCATTTTTTTATGTACTACCAAACTCTGTGAAAAAAATCGGGTCATTCCATTTGACTTTCCAAAGTTACCCCCCGTTTCACCCTTAAGGAGGGGTAGGGGGTGGCTAGCGGTAGCACCAAATAATGTCCCCTTTGGTCACATTAACCTTTTATTTAAGAAATTTTTCCGTGAAATGCGTATTTCTCGAGATATTGAGCTGTCTCAAGTTAAAAGAAACACCCTGTATATCTCCATTATTCGAGCTAAACTAGCAAAACCCCTTAAAAGATTAGTTTTGGGGGTTGCATAGATTTGATTTTTCCACATTTCATCCCAGTTCAAATTGTAAGGTCAAAATTTGTCGCACAGTGTAATTTAAACAAAATGCCACTTCCGGTTAAACCAGATCAACTTAAATATTATTAATATTATTTTAAAATTTTTCGAATTATTAATTTTTAAACACTTAATTAGTTAACAATTGTTTATAACAACCTGAAAAATTGACGCGATTAAATTTTACAAATTACGTGGTAACCATAGAAACCAGTCTCTGATAGAAACCGTCAACTCACCCGTCACAGGTTTCGTGATACAAAATAATATGTAAAATTTTAGAAATTGTTAAATATCTTTGAAATTATTAACTTTAGGTATAGGGAATAGTAACATCAATCGAAAGGTTTTTTAATTTACTACTATTTGAATATATAAAAACATACAAAGTGTTACATTTGAAATAAAAAAAGTTATTAACCTTTAATTTGGCCTAATTTTTTTAAGATTCCAAAAATTCCAACCCTATATTTGCAAACCTCATAACAAAAAAGTTATAGGCTATTTTTGATTGACGTGCATTTCTTAAATTTTAACGAAAAAAAATAATAATTCGAAAAATATTCACTTCAAATTTCAAATCAATATCTTTTTCGTTTCCCAGAAACTTCTAATGGACCACGAATGAAAAACATCCTGTTTATATACAATTGTCGATCGGATCGACAATTGTCTATTAAAAATTGTATTAAAGAAAAAATATTGTTGTTGGCCCTTCTACGCCTTCGTAGAAATGAAACTAACATGTTGAATAAGGCCTTTGGGAGCATGTGTAAATTAAAAAAAAAAGATATATTAACATAAAATTTTTGTATCTAATGGTAATAAGAAAGATATTAAAATCCCAGCGGATAATTTAAATTTTAAGAAAATATCAGATTAAAAAATTTACATTTAGGTAAATAGCAGAAAAACTTTTTTTAATTATTATTTTTTTCCAGCGATTTTTTTATATGAAATAAAAGTTCCATTATGCCAAGTTTGTATTGATAATATTTTACTTAATAAAGTGCTTCGCTAAGATTTTTTTTATTATAATATTTTTTCTACTCCCACCTTTAAAACGCCCATTCGTACATGTTTCCATGACACTAAGTGACCTTTTAAATACGCATTGACAAGTTGTGGCTTTATGGCGTTTTAGTCACTGGCTGAAGTTAGCAACAGGTTTTTAGTCACGGGCTGAAGTTTGCTTTAAGTTAGTTGATAGTTGTCAAATGTCATAAAAGCGATCAATAAAGGGCCTATCTTGTAAAATAATACTAAATGTGAAAATTATTTTATTATCTCAATACAAAAATACAAAAATAATAAATACTTTCTCAACGACAATATTTGAAAAGTTTATATAAACATTATACCTACTGACTTTTTAATTTCGTCGGCAGTAAACTATAACTTAAATTCGGGCACGGACTCCACTGTAAAGTGTTCATAAAACATTTTCTTTAATTTCACTGTAAAAAACTGTCCATTTTTAAGAAATACATTTCGATTTTGTGTTTATAAAATATAAAAATTTGAAATTTGACGGTGAAACACAGATTCCCCTATTGTTTCATAGATGGCGCTCTATACAAATATTTGATTTAAATCATTTTAAGATAATAATAATAATTTATGCATGAGCGTAGCTTGCGGAGCGAGTTTATTTTTAAACAAGTCTTCTTGAGTCTTTTATAAAACGAATTGCATACGAATACAAAGTAATGTTTTTACAGATTTTATTTGACATTTTATCTGACATTTTCGGTAATATTATATTATATTACGTAACAAGAGTTGTAAATAGCATATTACGCACGAGTGGAACACAAAATTCGCAATCTTTACTGATAGGCGGTCTTGCATTTTCTAACAACCCCCTTAGGGGAGCTAAACGGTATAAAAAAAAATGTCGGTGCGCATGCTGGAGGGGATGCCATTAAAAAATAGTATGTAAATTCTATTGAATTGTAAACAAAACAAAAAAATGCTGCGAGGCAGGCAAAAGTATACTTATAGCATATAGGTATTCATCAAAAAATAAACCAACAGTCGTATCGAAACGCAGTAAAGAGAGACTCGGTGTCAAAGTAACGATCTTCTCACAATGGGGTAAAATTATTTGTTTCCTACATTTCAGCTTAGTAACGACTGGCTGTAGTCAGTATTAGGAAGAACGAGCTGAATCTTCCTTAAAGCCCTGGCGAAAATGAAATGTGCAAAAAGTGTGCAAAATTATTTGAGAACAATGTGCAGAGGGTGGGAAATGGAACATGAAACAATGTGCAAAACCAAAAATTTACCATTTATCACGTTTATATTACACCTTTTTATAGCACATTAACAGTGTGTATAAATTGTGACATGCGTAAGATAGACTGAAGCTTTGCAAAATTGTCTTTAAACAATGTTGTGCAAAAAAATAATTTAATATAAGCGTGACAAGTGACAAATAAAAAGCAAGATGTCAATGTGCATAAAGAGTGAAAAAACTAAATTATTTCAAAAAGTGTGACATTACCACAAAATAGCGTCTTTGCGCATTGTTATAAAGACTTGCACTCTAAATACACACTTATTGCACTTTTCGTGCACGCTTTATTTTCGCCAGGGAGCCAGCTGCTGTTTTTAAACAACCCGACGTGGACGGCAATACTTCATTACAGAAGACACAGTGGGGTAAATAAGTTGCGCATATATGCTTCTTAACTTCCAAGTAGCCAAATCTTCATTAAAGCGGTCTTTAAAATACCGGAATATCCGACGAGGGAGAAAAAGGGTATAGGAACACAGAAGAACAAAAAGAAGTACACGACAAATAAACGTTAGGCCCCAACAGCGATATAACAACACCCAGCAGCTAGCATGACTCCTAAACGCTCCGGTTTAGATGGATTCCAGCTCCCTTCTGCCCTCTGGGCGAATAGTCCGGTCCGGAGTAATTCCTAAAGAGTAAAATAAAACTATGAACAGCATAACCTACTTAGGATTACTACTGTTTCTTATATTTTCCTTAATATTCCCTTTTATAAATCAGTTGATGAAAGATTATGTTATTTTTATTTAAATTATAATGTGTATGCAAAATTTATGATTTTTATTGTTGGGCGAAACGTTTTTGGTTGCAGTTTCGAAACAAAGGTATGCGTTTTTATGGTCTACTTACTTTTTTAAGACATTGACATAAGTTTAGTTCAATGTTTCTTAACAAAATTATAAAAGGTTAAATTGAGCAACATCAAAGGACTTATACGAATCAGTGTTTATGGTCAACTGATTTTGGAACCTATGTAAGTATACGTGACTTAATTTTCTCAAATTATGGGTTTAGTAATTTTAATTATTAATTACAGACAAAACAATTTATTTTATAAATAAGATTTTGTTTTTGTATCAAAAAAATATAAAATTTAATATTTAGCATTTTAAACCCCTTTATTTTAGCTATAATATATATATGTTTCCAAATAAAATAGAATCATATTAAATCCACTTGTTTATTGCACAATAGTATACCATCATTGCACAACGGCAAGGTTAAGCACAAAAATATAATACTTTTAAACGAATGTGATCTAAATTTTACGCTTGATGTAATAAATACGATATACAAGTATTTCC